GAAATATCTATTTTTAAGCAAATAGGAGAGGCAGTGGATAGTTTGGTGGATAAGGACACTCCCTTTAGGGCTTGTCTGAGTTCAAATCCTGGCTCTGCTACTTATGTGTATGACCATGAACAAATAGTAAATCTCTCTGTGCCTCAGTTTCCTCATCTGTGAAATTAATAATAGCACCCACTTTATAGAATTACTGTTGAGAATTTAGTGGAGTTAATACTTGAAAACACTACACAGTGTCTGACTTGTCATAAGTACTCAGTAATTGATAGTTATTACTATTTTTAACTTTGCTATTTTTAACTATTTTTAACTTTGCTTTCAAAGTTTTTATTGGGTCAATACATAGGATTTTATACAGAAACATTAACAAAGAAAATATTTATCATTTGGATATGTGAAGTTAGTACCAGTTTATAGACCATGTAAATGGGTAGCATTATTTCCAAAAATCAAAAGGTTTAACAGTTATTGCTGGATTATAAGAGTATTTAATACAAATCCCAGAAAACCTAATGACTTCTGGACTGTCACCATAGATTTCGGGGGATAATAATACTGGTTAACTAGCTCTTTAAACTGAAAAGGTATGCATTGAAATAATAGAATACGAAAGTTAATATAGTGAAAAGTATTGCCCTGACCCAGACCTCCCAGCTGTCTTCCCAGTCCCAAATGCTGTTCACACTTTTGTGTCTTCTGCAATAGTCTATGTATATATAAAGGTATTCATGAGTATACATTACCCCTTTCCTCTTTAACCTGAATGAGAGCACACACTTGTGCATTTTGCTTTTCTTATTTAATAGCTCTTGGAGCTCATTCTGTAGAAATCACATTTGTAACATTATTTAATATTAAAGCTACTTAATATCTCAGTATGTGGTTGTGCCATAATTTATCAACTAATCTATTGGTCAAATTTGCATATTCAGTTTTTTGGCTTTTATGAACAGTGCTTTGTGAATATTCTTATATATGCATAGATACATGTTTATAAGATAAATTTCTACTTTTATCAAGATCTATCAAAGAAAAATGCAAATTACTTTCTAAAGAGCCTAACAGTGTAGCTCCATAATTTAAAAACAAAAAAAAAAAGGCTGTGAGGGGTTAAATTTGAATTCTTTCCAGGTGGTTTTCAGCAGCATGCTTTGGTGGAATCATGATTTTTAGAAGACTTAAGTGGGATTGCTGCATATTACATTCCTGCCTCTTCCCTCCCCCTAACTTGTCTTTGTAACATTCATGCCTGGGAAGTCTTCCCAGTGACCTGGGTTAGGCATTAAGATCATGGGAATCCAAGATTTTCCCATGTCTTCTAGTATGTTTGTTCAAAGAATAGGAAAACTTCCTTCTTAGAGCAGAGGAATTTTAACCACTGTCAGTTGCTGGAGAATCTTCCAATAGGGTCCTTTGAATAGAAATATGGTCAAGGAGAGGAAAGGTATCAGTAGGTCAAAAGGCAGTGATAATATCATAGCACTCAAAATAACTTCTTACTTGTTTATGAGAAGTAGGTAGGCAGAAAGGTGGAGTGACTTCCCCGTTGTCATATACATCAGGTAATGCCAGGGAGAGGCCTAGAATTCTGTATTTCCATGTTGGGATTGCTTAGTAAGGACCTATATGAAAAGAATTTTATTGTCTGGAGGTAGGTGGTTGCTGATATTTGATCATCACTGATCAGTGATATCTGTTACTCTTGGCTATTTACTCCTGTGTATATGATGACTACAGCTCTAGCCATTACATCTGCGTTCAAGGCAAGAAGCAAGGTGAAGGAAAAGGGGAGGAGCAAGAGCTGTAGTGTATCTATATTAGGAAAGTATGAATTTTCTTATGAATCCCTCAGCAGATTCCTACTTTGTTCTTATTGGCCAAAGTGTCCCATGGCTACTGCTTCACGCTTGGAAACTTGGTGATCAAGGAGGTGATTTCTGTCTTAGAGTACTTTTTACTGTTTTGATGGTGTTCAATGAAAAATATTTAATCATAGCTTGACTTAAACTGTTTTAACCTCTAATTTTCTTCATGCTTATAGTTCATACTATATGATTTAAATATTTATACTGTCTTATCTCTTAAGTCTGATTAACAGTCTAAAAATAAGTCTAGGCTTCCCTGGTGGCTCAAATGGTAAAGAATCCACCTGCAATTCAGGAGACCTGGGTTTGATTCCTGGGTTGGGAAGATTCCCTGAAGGAGGGTGTGGCAACCCACTCCAGTATTCTTGCCTGGAGAATCTCATGGACAGAGGAGCTTAACAGGCTACAGTCCATGGGGTCATAAAGAGTCTGACACGATTGAGTGACTAAGCACAGCACATCTTTTAAGTCTGATAGGCCTCCTGTCTAGATTTTGAATTCCTTTGTGTCTGAGACTAGATCTTCTACTTTTTGTATGAGACAGTGTCTCATCCTTGAATATTAGTGAGAAAGGAGCTCCAGTATTATCAAGCCCAGATTTATGGCCCCTAGCAAGTATGAACTGCTAACACATAGCTTACTGAGTTAAATTGAATAATGAAAGTAGAAATGGGGAAGTGTGAAAACTTAAGAATTGAGGATAATAAAGAATCCTCTATTCAGGGTAAAAGACTATGAAGACTTTCTACTTGGAAAGAAATACAGTATTGTTTCCTATACAGTACTCTTTCCTATGCAAATATAGACCATAACTACATTAACATGCTTCTCTAATTCATAGGGTGAGGGCAGATGATGTAGAAAACATATTGTACTAAATTCAGGAGCCTCAGTTCTAGATTGGATTCTTCCTTTATATAACTTTATGATATTGGGCAAGTCTTTTTTAATTTCCCTTATTTTCAGCTTCCTCTTCTAGGATGGGAATAATTGATGCTTTAGAGGATTACTGAGGGTATTAAAATTGTGTGTATTTAGTATTGATATTTCATGGTGCTTGGCATGTGTAAGCACCTTTGGTACCTTGTTTTTATCATGATCATTAGTAGTATTGTTGTATGATCCTAGAGGACCTCATTTTGCTTTATTTAATCTTTATCTATAAACTGAAAAATATAGGTGTTATTTAAAACTCCTCCCATCTCCAAAATGTCGCATTTCTACACTTAGTACTTCAACTGGAGCATTGTTATAAAGGTACCTCTGGAGGTATAGCTTCAGTGAGTTCATAGGGAGACCATGGGAAGATGAGGTTCTCTGGTGCGTAGATTGATTTCACTATGTAAACCAAATAGAACAAATTCCTTCTGAATTACCCAAGTTCACTGAGAGAAATTACCCAAGTCTGCTGGCCAAACCACCAAGCAACAATGAGTTTGGGTGGACCTAATCTCATAATTTATCTCAGAGCATAGGTATAGTGGTATAATATAGAGAAAATGAGTACTGAGGGCTATTAGTACCTGGAAGAGAACTGGCACACCTCTCTGTAATGCAAGGGGATATTACTATCCTGAGGAATGTTTTCACATTATGGGTCAATAGCTGGTGATTCTGTCTTTTAGAATTTGTCTTCAGGGAAGAATTAAGTATATATACAGAAACTTAGCTTCATGGATATTCTTCTAGTAGTATCTTTAAAGTGAAAGTATTGGGACAGTCCTAATATAGGGGATAAGTAAATTAGGGCACAGTCATTAGTTGCTGATTATCTATATTGACATGGAAGATGCTTGCGATATGTGAAGCAGATTCAAAATGTCAATGATCCCATATGAAAAAAAAAGTAAAAGTTAAGTGTGTGTATGTGTTGTGTGTGTAGAGATTGAGAGAAATTGTGTGGGTGTGTGAAGTAGTATGGCATTGTGGATTTTTATGAAAGCGGTTTTTGTGATCTCATTTTTAAAAATGAGCATGTATTAATAAAGGCTTAAAGAAAGTACTTAAGTTAGCAAATGTGTATGTAAGTCATTAACTGATGTCTACTTCTCTTCCATGATACAGAATACTTTTAAGTCCATGTCATTCCATAATGAAGACAAATGATTCATTGGGTTTCATAGGGAAATTATTTGCCAAGTGAGTATAGCCTTTAGGCTATTACTTTCAGCTATTTTTTTAACCACATTGGGTTGGAGTGGGGGGCTGACACTCCTACACAGGTTTCCACAGGACACAGGACACAGGACAGTTCTTCTGTACAAAGTATGTGGAAGTAAGGATGGGCCCACATCTTTAACATTTTTTTTAACCTAATCTGCTTGTTGTCCCTTTTATGTATTTTTTAAAATATGTCTCTTTATGCCCAGGAGTAGTATTTTTTACGAAAGTATTTTTAAAGAGGAAACCTGTACTTGGCAAAACACTGTCCAGATTTTTTACTTTGTATAAGATACTGTTCTAAGCACCTTAATGGATGAGGTATACACAAGTGAGTAGAATTCATTCTTGTCTACAGGAGCTTAGCGTTTACTAGGAGAGAGATTTGCATAGTTAACTAATATAAAATTAGATGCTATAAAAGCACAATGGCTTTGGAGGGGCAACAGTAATGAACGGTAGATGAAAATTGGGAAAGATTTTAGAGATGATTGAATTGGACTTTGAATGATTAAAATTTTGGTTGGTAGCTATGATGTGTTTCAGAAATTGGGTTATTCAGGGCAAAGAGAAAGTGCATTGGATGTGGATGAGACTGGAAATGAGAAAACGGTAGATTGAGGAAAATAAGATAATGAATGTAAAAGACTTAGCACAGTACGTGATATATTGTAGGTGTTCATTAAATTTGGCCTCTTTCTAATTCCAGTGTATTTACCTCAAGGAGTGTCAAGTTACTGAAAAAGTAAACTTTACTTTTAGTGTGATTTGAAAAGTAAGGCGTATTGCCCAGATTATTTTCAGAATTGCATATGTGATTGTAAAAGCAAAATAGGGAACCAGTACCTTAGATAAATGGATAAATGTGCAACCAAGTTTCTGAACCATTTATTTCCTTAGGAAGTGACCTGTTGAGAAAAGTGACACAAACATTGGAAATAACCTACTGTTTTGCACCAAGGGAGGGACACAATGTCACAAGTCACAACCTCTTATTCCTATGATGCTCCAATGGACTTCATCAATTTTTCATCTTTGACTGATGAGGAAGATACCCAAAACATAGATTCCTGGTTTGGTAAGTGTCTGCTTTTCTAGTTGTTTTAAGGGTTAGTGACTTGCTTTGTGCTAAGCAGCTTTCAGAAGAATGGATTGTAGATAACTAAAATATAAATTCCTTTCTGCACTCAGAGACTTTGTCATCCATGATATGATAGAAATAGTTGGAATGTCTGCTATTTTGGAAAGGGACTATCACTAGAAATCAAAGCTTTGCATTTAAAAATGATGACTATTTAAGCTTTATGAGCATATGGTAAAATCTGGTTGAAAAAAGTTGAGTGAAATTCAACTACATGTCTGTAGTGAGGGAAGTCACATAAAAACTTGCTTTATTGTCTCTGAGCATAGAGTATAATATTACAGCTGGAATGTTGACAATGATACACTCCACAGATCTTACTCAGATTTCCCCAGTTTCACTTGTACTTATTTTCATGTGTATTAAGTTCTATGTAATTTTATCACCTGCGTAGGTTCATTGATTTACTACCACAGTCAAGATATCAAACTGTTCTAACATCATGAGGATCCTTGTGTTCCCCTTTTAGAACTATACTTACCTCACTCTTGCTACCTCTCCCCAGCTCGTTTTTTTTTAAATTTACTTTTTACTGAAGGATAATTGTTTTACAGAATTTTCCTGTTTTCTGTCAAATCTCAACATGAATCAGCCATAGGTATACATATATCCCCTCCCTTTTGAAACTCCCTCGCATCTCCCTCCCCATCCCACCCCTTTAGTTTGATACAGAGCCCCTGTTTGAGTTTCCTGAGCCATACAACAACCATTGGCTATCTATTTTACATATGGTAATGTAAGTTTCCATGTTTCTCTTTCCATACATCTCACCCTCTCCTCCTCTCTCCCCATGTTCATAAGTCTATTCTCTATGTTTGTTTCTCCATTGTTGCCCTGTAAATAAATTCTTCATTATCATTTTTCTAGATTTCCATATATATGCTTCAGAATACGGTATTTATCTTTCTCTTTCTGACTCATTTCACCCTGTATAATAGATTCTAGGTTCATCCACCTCATTAGAATTGACTCAAATGTGTTCCTTTTTTTGGCTGAGTATTATTCCTTTGTGTATATGTATCACAACTTCTTTATCCATTCATCTGTCGATGGACATCTACGTTGATTCCATGTTCTGTCTATTGTAAATAGTGCTTCAGTGAACAAAGGGATACATGTGTCTCTTTCAATTTTGGTTTCCTCAGGGTATATGCCTAGGAGTGGGATTGCTTGGTAATATGGTGGTTTTATTCCTAGTTTTTTAAGAAATCTCCATACTATCTTCCATAGTGGCTGTATCAATTTACATTCCCACCAACAGTGCAAGAGTGTTCCCTTTTCTCCACACCCTCTCCAGCATTTATTGTTTGTAGACTTTGATGAGGGCCATTCTGACTGGTGTGAGGTGATATCGCATTGTGGTTTTGATTTGCATTTCTCAAATAATGAGCGAAGATGGGCGTCTTTTCATGTGTTTGTTAGTCATCTGTATATCTTTTTTGGAGAAATGTCTGTTTAGGTCTTTTCCCCACTTTTTGATTGGGTTGTTTGCTTTTCTGTTATTGAGTTATATGAACTGCTTGTAAATTTTGGAAATTAATCCTTTGTCAGTTGTTTCATTTGCTATTATTTTCTCCCATTCTGAGGTTGTCTTTTCTTATAGTTTTGCTTATAACTTTGCTTATAGTTTTCTTTGCTGTGCAAAAGCTTTTAAGTTTAATCAGGTTCCTCTTGTTTACTTTTGTTTTTATTTCCTTTATCCTAGGAGGTGGGTCATAGAGGATCTTGCTTTGTTTTATGTCATCAAGTGTTCTGCCTATGTTTTCCTCTCAGAGTTTTATAGTTTCTGGTCTTACATTTAGGTCTTTGAGTTTATCTTTGTGTATGGTGTTAGGCTGTGTTCTAATTTCATTCTTTGACATGTAGCTGTCCAGTTTTCCCAGCACCATTTATCGAAGAGGCTGTCTTTGCCCCATTGTATATTTTTGCCTCCTTTGTAAAAAATAAGGTACCCATAGATGCATGGGTTTATTTCTAGGCTTTCTATCTTGTTCCATTGGTCTGTATTTTTTTTGCACCATACTGTCTTGATGACTGTAGTTTTGTAGTATAATCTGAAGTAAGGAAGGTTGATTCCTCCAGTTCCATTCTTCTTTCTCAAGACTGCTTTGGTTATTAGAATTCGGGCTTCTAGGATTTATGGAACTAGCCCAAAGTCACAGTGAAAGTGAAAGTGTTGGTCACTCCGTCTCGTCTGACTCTTTGGGACCCCATGGACTGTAGCTGCTCAGGACCCTCTGTCCGTGGAATTCTCCGGGCAGGACCATTTCCAGCTCATTTTTATATGGAGGGATTATGCTACTCAGAACCCAGTTTCCACATAGAGATAGGATTCTCCGATATTGGGTCAGGTGATATGACACAAACTTTGACATCTCAACAAATAGGGATGTGGGTTTTGTTTTTTTTTTTTTACTGAAGAATAATTCCTTTACAGAATTTTTGTTTTTTTTTCTGTCAAACTTCAATGTGAATCAGCCATAGGTATACATACATCTTCTCCCTTTTGAACCTCCATCCCATCTCCTTCCCCATCCCACCCCTCTAGGTTGATACAGAGCCCCTGTTTGAGTTTCCTGAGCTGTACAGCAAATTCCCTTTGGCTAACTATTTTACATATTGTAATGTAAGTTTCCATGACTGTTTTCATACATCTCACCCTCTCCTCCCCTCTCCCCATGTCCATAAGTCTGTTCTCTGTTTTTATATTACTGGGAAAATATGTGAGACCAGTGATGTGTCACGCTAGTTATTGCCGGGTTGTCTTCATTTTTTTCTTTCTCATTAAGAGAAATCAGTATGTGATGGGGGTAGAAATGAGTCCATTGCAGCTGTACTTAACACTTATAGTGCAGTGTCCAAATGTAATAGCATATGCCATTCTCTTGGAAAAGAACTCCAATGAAATCCAGTGGGTCTGCTGGGTGTGTATAGGAGGAAGGGTGGATAAGAAAGCCAGCTGCTGTACAGAAGGTCTTTTCCATGCCCTTGGTCCACTGTAACCCTGAGGAAATAGCTGGGCTGTCTCTCTTTTACCACATTTTTTTCTTGAAAATAGGAAAGGAAATATTAGTGTAACAGTACTTTTAAATACACTTTGGAAGAAAAAATGGATCCCACTGTTTTTTCAAAATCACCTTAGTTCTAATGTTCAGTTCATTTCAGTTGCTCAGTTGTGTCCGACTCTTTGCGACCCCATGGACTGCAGCACACCAGGCCTTCCTGTCCATTGCCAACTTCCAGAGTTCACTCACACTCATGTCCATTGAGTCAAGTGATGCCATCCAACCATCTCATCCTCTGTCATCGCCTTCTCCCGCCTTCACTCTTTCCCAGTCACTCTTTCCCAGCATCAGGGTCTTTTCAAATGAGTCAGCCCTTCACATCAGGCGGCCAAAGTATTGGAGTTTCAGCTTCAGCATCAGTCCTTCCAGTGAATATTCAGGATTGACTTCCTTTAGGATGGACTGGTTGGATCTCCTTGCAATCCAAGGGATTCTCAAGAGTCTTCTCCAACACCACAGTTCAAAAGCATCAATTCTTTGCACTCAGCTTTCTTTATAGTCCAACTCAAATCTCTACATGAATACTGGAAAAACCATAGCTTTGACTAGACGGACCTTTGTTGGCAAGTAATGTCTCTGCTTTTTAATATGCTGTCTAGGTTGATCATAACTTTTCTTCCAAGGAGCAAGCGTCTTTTAATTTCATGGCTGCAGTCACCATCTGCAGTGATTTTGGAGCCCAGGAAAATAAAGTCTGTCACTGTTTCCACTGTTTCCTCACCTATTTGCCCTGAAGTGATGGGACCGGATGCCATGATCTTAGTTTTCTGAATGTTGAGCTTTAAGCCAACTTTTTCACTCCTCTTTCACTTTCATCAAGAGGCTCTTTAGTTCTTCGCTTTCTGCCATAAGTGTGGTGTCATCTACATATCTGGGGTTATTGATATTTCTCCTGGTAATCTTGATTCCAGCTTGTGCTTCATCAGCCCAGCGTTTCTCATGATGTACTCTGTATATAAGTTAATTAAGCAGGGTGACAATATACAGGCTTGATGTACTCCTTTCCCTATTTGAAACCAGTCTGTTCCTTGTCCAGATCTAACTGTTGCTTCCTGACCTGCATACAGATTTCTCAGGAGGCAGGTCAGGTGGTCTGGTATTCCCATCTCTTTCAGAATTTTCCAGCATTTGTTGTGGTCTACACAAATTCTAATGCATTCCTTTATATTTTTCTTCCAGATAATCACATCTTTTTACACTGTCAGAGTATACATTCTTAGTGGGACTCAGCACATTCCTAAAACTTGTATCAGTAGGCTGTTGATAGAACACACTTTTCACTGCTTGTACTGGCTTTGGTCATGGCAAAACCTAAGATATAATTCCCTGAGAGAACCTAGTTCTATTCCATCCTCTTGCACCCCACACTGTCTTAATTGAGGAAGAACCTCAACTCAATTAGACTGCAAGATATCCCTTGTAAGCCTCACCAGTCTCACTGACTACTGTTTTCTTTAAAAGGAACATGATGTATTTAGGTAGTAGATAAGGCCAGTTTATGATTAAATGGTCCTAAATATGTATCAAGCAAAGATAAAGAGCTATTCACAATGCAGAGTCTGCACTTATCCTTTTCTGTAATACTTTGTTCAGTGTTACCAGTGTTTTAGTGATAGTTTTTGCAGTTGCTGTCTCTGTTATATAACCTGTACTTATTTTTTTTAATCACTGAAACTTTGCTGGTACTTGCCAAATGAATTCTAAGTGTACCAGTAGGAGGCTTTAGGCCTCATTTTAAGTGTATGACACTCTTCTGTTTGCTTCCTTGCTGGTTGTTTAGATGATCATGATTTTACCTTTTCACAGATGAGAAGGCTAATTTGGAGAATAAGTTTCCTGGGAAGAATGGTACAGGAGGGCTTTTTCAGGGTAAAACACCTCTGAGGAAGGCTAATCTTCATCAAGATGTCACACCTTTGAGGCCAGGTAAGAAAGAATATCTTAGAAAAAACCTCCTTGGCAGAATGGTGGAGCAGTATACTAGGAACCTGAGGGACCTGGGGAAATTACCTAAATGATGTATCCCTTTGTTTTTAATTGGTGAAATAGGCTAATTCATTTATTCATTTCATGGTGAGTTGAAAACTAATTATGTGCTGTTTTTTTCATTTTTCAAGCTTTGGGAAGTTAAGCTAACACAGAATTTTGTTGCCAGATATATAACTATTTTCTTTTTTGACTAGATTTAATGTAACCTAACCTGAGTCTGGCTGGGAAACAAAACAGCAGGAGAGAAGAATGTACTGCTTGCTAATTGTGCAAGAATTCTTTGAGTCTTGTATCTGATTTTAAAACATGATTGGCATTTAACTAATAGTTACTAAATATACAAAATACTGTCTGTTTGATTAGAACAAAAATTATTCTTTTAAAAGGTCATAAATCCTCAGAAATGATTGTTTTGAAATAGTAGCTGTATTTAGATATAATTCACATGTCATACAATTCACCTGCTTAAAGGGTACATTTCAGTCTTCTTTTTCATATGCTCATGGAATAGTTATGCAACCACTACAATCAATTTAGAACGTTTGAGAACTAATCTTATGGATTAATCTGAAACTTGCCTCAATCACAGCACTAACCACAGGGCCATATCAGAAAGTTGCTGTATTTCCAGTGAACTTGTTTCCAGAGTGTCAGTTGCTAGGCTGACTTTCAAACACAGGTGATATCTTATTGAATTTGGGGTCTGGGCAAGTATCCATCTTTCTTGTGTAAGAGGTTATAACCATGTATACATATTTCACTTGAGGTGCTTAGAAGTGTGGAAGATTTTTCTGTTGCTTTGATGGTCTTTGTGCTCTTCTTGAATTGAAAGAGGTTGTGATGGTACCTAGTTTGTCTGGACCACTTTCAGTTTAAAATTATTTGTCGGCAGTGAGCCCCAGAGCAGGACACCTCTGCTTGGCCCATCATGTATCAAAAACCATATGCACTGCTTCCACTCGTGCATACTCCTCAGCCACAGTGTTTTTGTTCTTTCTTAGTACACATTCTCATCGTCTCATTAGTGCTATTAGTGCTGCTGCTGCTAAGTCACTTCAGTCATGTCCGATCTGTGCGACCCCATAGATAGCAGCCCACCAGGCTCCCCCCATCTTGCTATTCTACCCTTAATCTAACTGAAAAATTCTTACTCATCATTCAGTTTACAGCTGAAATATCTTTTTTTCCCCTCTAATTGGTGCCCCTTATTTGTGTTCACAAAGCACTTTTCAGAGCTCTGGTTTTTGGTGTTTTTTTTTTTTTGGCTTCACAGAATGTAGGATCTTAGTTCTCCAACCAGGAATTACACCCATGCCCCCTTGCAGTGGGAGCACAGTCTTCACTACTGGGCTATCAGCGAAGTCCCCAGACCTCTATTTTAATTTCAACTTGATTGTTTCTTTCTCAGATTCTCAGCACTTTTTTTCTGCTTCTGTTTTATGATGTCCATAGTAACATCAGAATCCTTTGATAAAATATCTCCTTCCTTTTCCCACCCCATACATAGTCCCTTTTCTTAGATGCTACATTTTAAAATTCTTATTGTTTTAAATTGAATTGGGGGTTGTATTTGTAATGTCTAGTCATATGATTGCTACAGAAATATTTACATTATTTTGATTATGTAAATATTACTGAATGCCAGGTCAGTTACTGTGATGCAGCTACATTTCTTCTTGGTTCTTCTTGGTGTTATTTGTCACAATCCCTTGACCACATAAAGATGATCTTGACATCAGGGTCAGGTAGATTCTTTAAACTTGATCAATTACTTAAAATTTTGTCACATTTGAGCTTGCTACATATTGAATAATGATCCTTGGAAGTTACACTGCTTTATTTGAGGATGGCATTATTTTTCTTAGTTTCTTTTTAGTGTCTTGTTTCCTGGGTCTTATGTCCTCTTTTTTGTATTCTTTCATTTGTACTTCATTAGGCAGGGGTATGTCCCCAGGGAACTTCCTAAAATAAGGTGCAGGAAGAGAACTTTGAGTTCTCATATGTCTGAAAATGTCATTGTTCCACCTTTGTTTACTACTGAAAGTTGGACTTAATATAGAATTGCAGTTTAAAAGATTTTTTTCTTGATTTCTAAAAGATTTTTTTCTTGATTTCTCTGAAGGCATTGTTCCATTATCTTTTATCATCCTTTGTTGCTGATGAGGAATTCAGCTTATCCTGTTTTCCTTACTTAGGTGATTTCATTTTCTCACAGAAGCTTTCAGAATTTTTATCATTTTGAAATGTCACGAGAGGGACTTCCTTGGTGGTCTGATGGCTAAGACTCTGGTCTCAGTGAAGGATGCCCAGGTTTGACCCCTGGTCAGGGACCCAGATTCCACATGTTGCAACTAAAAATTCATATGCCACAACTAAAGATCCCACATGCCACAATGAAGGTCAGCAATTCCACATGTTGCAACTAAGACTCGGTGCAGCCAGATAAACAAATAATAAAACAAAGTGTCATGAGGGGTTTGGGACACTTTTTTTGAGGTGCCTTAGGCTAGTAAATAGGTAGGGCCCTGGTTATTTCATTTCTGCCTCAACTAAAGTAGCTTTTATAAATTGGTCTTCTGCATAAGATTCAGTGGAACAAAAGGTTCCTCTGCTTAGGAGGGATACACACACACACACACATTTCTATCTAGAATTCTGTATTAAATCATATGTATATATAGACATGTATTTCCTTGGGATTTGAGTACAGACTAGTTTTTGTTCTCTTGCAGTTGATAATACTTACAACAAACAGGCAGAAAAAGAAAATCTGGTGGAAGAGTCCATTCCATCAAATGAATGTCCTTCTATGAAAGTCAAAAGAACCACATCAAGAAATAATCCAGCTCAGGCTCAGAGGTAAGAGGTGTTCAAAAGTGGTGGTTATATTAGTAATGTTCAGAGAAGGGTTATGTTTCCCATAGTACATTAGACTTTTCATGTTACCTTATTTAATCTTCATAACATTAATGAGTTGTAGGTAATATACTTATTTTATAGATAAGGGCTCAGAGGTGCTAAAGTTGCTTGTCCAGGGCAGATTTATTTCAGAGACAGGATTCAAACTGTTTATAAGAAATAGCCAGAATTTTTCCAAAGTGACTGTACCATTTTCCATTTCCATAAGCAGGATAGTATGAGAGTAACAGTTGCTTCATATCTTGACCAACACTTGATATTATCAGTCTTTTTACTGATATTTCATTATGTTTATAATTTGCATTTTCTTGATAACTAATGATATTGATCACATTTTCATGTGGTTTCTGGCCATTCATATGTCTACACATATAATTTTTTTGAAAATCTGGCTTCTTGGAGTCTCCCCTATGCCTGAAGATCTTAGTGGTCAGCCAAAACCAAGTAGAGTTTATACTCAGGCTTAAGTTTTCATCCTCTTTGTGGTTCTCTTACTTCTGGAGTTTTGCCTCTGAATTTCCAGCGGTTCAGAGGTTAAAGTGTCTGCCTGCAATTCGGGAGACACGAGTTCAATCCCTGGGTCGGGAAGATCCCCTGGAGAAGGAAATGGCAACCCACTCCAGTTATTCTTGCCTGGAGAATGCCATGGACGGAGGAGCCTGGTAGGCTACAGTCCACGGGGTCGCAAAGAGTCAGACACGACTGAGCGACTTCACTCACTTTTGCTTCGGTTACCTCAGGCTAGTAAGACTTGAGTTGTGTGCTGTTCTACTATATGCACACTGGGTAATGCACTGAATCAAAAAAACCCAGCAAACTCACCAGTCTTACCTGGTGCACTTGTCTTTTAAGGACGGACACCTCATGAGTTTCTGTTTTCTTCACTGGGCATGTTTGGTCTCCCCTAAATACACATAGTTAGCATATATAGTAACAGGAAATTTGTGCAGAGCTTTGGCTCAGATTTTGAGTGACACCTTTTTTGTAGCTCTTTTTCTTCTAGGACTTTCCTCCTAGGTTTCTAACTCCTGTACTGGCCTGAATTCTATCTTCTGTTATTTAAAGCCAGTGAGAGTAGAGTTCTCTGCTGCTGGAGCTGCCACGGTTGGGGCGTGCCCGCAGGCAGAAAACTCGTAACTCTTAACCTTGGTTGTTGCTATTCATGGATAAATGTTCCTATTTTCTACCTGCTTTTGGTCACTTTCCAGTGCACTCAAATAGTCATATTTTTGTATATTGTGTACATTTTGTAATAATATGCAAGAAGATTTGCATGATAAATGTACTCTACATTACTCCATATTTTTGTTTTTGTGAGTCCCTTTAGAGATTAATATGAAAATAGTTGCAGGTGAAAGATATGAAATTTGGGATTTGCTTCAGAATTTAAGATGGGTAGATGAAAAGAAAGTTGACAATGTGATTGGCTATAAGTTGGAAACTTTTTTTTTATAAGTTGGTAATTTTTAAAGCTGAATGATGAGTACCTATTGGTTCTTTATATTATTCTCCATTTTTAATGGTTTAAATTCTCTGTGATAAAGATTTTTAAATTAGGTACTCTATGCACTCATAAAAATTTGAATATATACTAATAAACCTTAAGAGAGTGTTGAGAAAAATTAAACAAGATCTAAATAAATGACGGGACATACTACATTCATGTTTTATTTATTTTGGCTATGCTGAGTCTTTGCTGTGCGGGCTTTCCTCTGATTGCAGCAAGTGGAGGCTACTCTAGTTGTGTGGGCTTCTCTTGTCGCAGACCATGGGCTCCGGGCACGTGGGCTTCAGTAGTTGCAGCATGTGGACTCAGTAGTTGTGGTTCCTGGGCTCTAGAGCACAGGCTCAATAGTTGTGGCTCATGAGCCTATTGCCCTGCAGCATGTGGAATCTTTCCAAGTCAGGGGTTGAATCCTTGTCTGCTACCTTGACAGGCACATTCTTTACCACTGAGACACCAGAGAAGCCCCCATGTTAATGCTTTGAGAGACTCAATACTATAAATATCAAGTCTCCTTACCCGACCTATAGATTCAATGTGATCTCTACAAAAGTCCCAAAGGTTTTCATTTTGGACATTGATAAGTTGATGCTAAAAGTTATACAGAAATGCAAAGGTCCAAGAGTAGTCAAGATACTTTTAAAGTATTTTGTAGATAACAAGTCATATTATAAAGCTACAATAATTAATGCTTTGTATTAATTTGGGTATTGCCCAATGCTGAGACCTGATGGAATCATATAGAAGCTTACTCTCTCATATATGGACACAATATATACAAAAGTGATACTGCATGGGTATGAGGAGAGGGTGTTTTTATTTTTCCCCCTTCAATAAACAATGATTGGACAATGGATAGCCAAATAGAACAAAATGAGAGTTGTCACCTATCTCACTCCATATAAAACAGTCAGTACTAGGTGAATTGTAGATCTAAATGTAAAAACACAGCTCAAGTAAGGAAATACAGGAGAATATCTTCATGACCTTGGAATAGGGAAAGATTTCTTAAATAGAATCCACACAGAAAAGCACTGACTTGCTTTTTGGGAAGAAGTGCTTTTTGAACTTACTATCTAATCAAATGATACCATAAAGAGTGAGAAACCGCCCCCCCCCCCCCCCCCCCAAAAAAAAAGGAGTGAGAAGTCAACCCCTAGATTGGCGGGAAGTATTTGTAACTCTTAAAACCTACAATGGACTCATATTCATAGTGTATAAAGAATTCCTGCTAATCAGTTGGAAAATGATTCACAATGTAGTAGAAAGCAGCCAAGAGACTTAACTAGTACTTAATGAAAGATGATAACCAAATGGCCAATAAACATGTGAAAAGGTGCTCAATCTCCCTGGGAAAAGGAAACTAAAACCACAGTGAGGCTCTGTAATTAATATATACCAATTTGTATGACTGAAATTAAGTCATCCGACAGTACTAAGTATTTAGGAGAATGTAGAGCAATACAGACTCATAAATTTGCCAGTGTAAGCATAAATTGGTAAAAGCACCTTGGTAAATAACTTTAGTTAATAAACCAATGTCCTGTGACATAGCAATCTTATAACAACAATGTGTACATCAGGAAACATATGCGAGAATCAACAGTTAACTGGATAAATAGTGGTATGTTCCTATAATGAATGTTATAGACCATTGAAAATTTGTGAATTAGAACTCCATGAATAACTGTGGTTGAATCTCACAAACATAATGTTGAGACAGAAAGCAAGACAGAAAAAATGTATAAAGTTTTTGTTTTGTTTTCAAACCAACGTACTGTGTTTATGGAATGCATGTTTATATGGTAAAAAAGATAAAAGCAAAGTACTCATTACTGTAAAAGTCAAGATAGCACCTGCTGCCAGTGTTTTGTTTCTTAGTCTAGGTGGTGATTTCATGAGTCTTCACTTTGTAATCATTAACTTGGTTTTTGTGTACTTTTTGCTTTGTGTTACATATTTCAAGAAAAATAGGGGGTCATGACTAAAAGAAAGAGGAGAAAATAAACACTTTAGTAAATTTCTGGGAGATCTTCTTTCTGACTTCCAAGTCTGACTAGTTAGCTGTGTAACAGGGTCAAGTCACCTTATCTTTTTTATTAACTTTTACTCATACCTTCAAAAGGAGGGAGTTGTACCAGTGCCTTTTTACATAATTAAATCAACTTTATTGAGGTTTGATTTACAAATACCAATGCACTTAAAGTACCACCATTTTATGGTGAATTTTCAAAAGCTATCAATAAGACATTAGATTTTTAGAGTAGAAATAATACCATTTTTGTAGTTTGTAAAAATAGCCTTTGTAGTTTGACATATGTTCACATTTTGCAACATATATAGTAGATGTATTCATTACAGATAAGTTTTGTCAATTCTTCTACCATAGAAGATCTCTCAGACTCTCTGCTCAGAAGAATTTGGAACAGAAAGAAAAGCATCATGTAAAAATGAAAGCCAAGAGGTGTGCTACTCCTGTAATCATCAATGAATTTCCACCCTCCAAAAAAATGAAAGTGTAAGTATCCACAGCTTCTGTCAGTTGGCATAGATTTTACCCCTGTTTGCTCCTATGGTAATAGCAAGCAGAACACATGGTGCTTGTTCTTATTTTTGTCAGGAGTGTGTTTTGTTGAAGGTAATATGGTAGCCAGTTTAATTAGAGAAGTTTAGAGAGCAGTGATTTACTTGCTTCATAGAATTCTGAAAGTAGTTTGCTGCTAGCTTTGGTTCGATGACATTTCTGAGTCTTAGTGGGTTTTCCCTCCACACTTGCTGCTCCCGATGGCTGCTCTGTGTTTCTTAGATTCTTCCTTGGGCTTGTTGCCTCTTTATCACATGGTAGCTTTTCTGTCTCTAGGTATCATATCTGTGTTTGAGAGAAGGGTCTGATGAAGAAAGAGGGGTAGCATCTATAATAGGAAAGTAAAATATTTTCCAGTAATGCTTATGTTTATACATTAGTTGACTGAACTGTAAATTGGATCCCCTCTAGTTGCAGTAGAGACTGCTGAAACAAGTACAATACTTTTACCTTCATATGTTGGCTGCCCCAAACAAAATTAGAGTTGTGTTAATAAGAAAGAAAGTGACATAAATTTTGGAAAGGAAACTATCTTGCATTTGTTCATTTGATGAGCAGTTGGAATCTCTTCCCACCTTCCTGAACCATCACCAGACAACTCTTACCTGACTTCTTTTGGTGTTCTCAAAGTTTGCTTGTTGTAGCTATTGGTGTATATAAACTGATGATACTGTTGGAAGAATCTTGGCTGTTGAAGTATGGCTGTTGTCCTAAAGAATGATAAAACTTAAGCCATGTGTGGTAGATCTGGGGAGGAGATTGAGATATTTATATGCTGTAGGAGATTGAGATATTTTTTGTCCTTTTCAACTCAAGCTCTCACAATAAAAAGAAGTTAGAAGAAGAGGAAGAAGGCAATGCTTGTCAAGATATTTCTGAAAAGAATGAATCTTCCCCAGAAAAAGCCAGGGGCAGACATACTGCGCCTTGTATCCCACCTGTAAGGTATGATACTTTCCTGAGTTTCATCTTTAGAGTCAGAGTAAAATTACAGATGTGTACAACTACAGTCTGTTTGAAGCACATGGAGCCTGAGAAACTCTAAAGGCTGTCACCATGGTGAGGTACATTGTTTATGTCCTAGTGGGTGCTTGCGTCTTATACATTGAAAAAAATAAACTATTAAATGTAAAAGAAATATAAAAGAAAAAAGTTAGTAAAGGTTCTTGTTCTGTCGTCCAGTCATGTCTGACTCTTTGCGACCCCACGAACTGCAGCTTGGCAGGCTTCCCTGTCCATCACAGTCTCCCAGAGCTTGCCCAAACTCATGTCCATTGAATCAGTGATGCCATCCAACCATCTCATCCTCTGTTGTGTCCTCCTCCTGTCTTCAGTCTTTCCCAGCATCAGGGTCTTTCCTCTGAGTCCTCTCTTCACATTAGGTGGCCAGTTACCTAAATTGAATAGTATTTACTTTGTCAAGCTCCATTCTGGACTTTAATCAAATAAAATACCTATTTTTACAGTCAGTATATAAGTAGTCTTTGGATTCTGCTTTATTCACTCACTATGAAACTCTTTATTTTCTGTACTGATACAAAATCTTCACATTTACCCTTCCTTTTGGTAGATGGTTAACATTCTTTATATTAATTATTTCCTGTTAAAAATGCTGTTTCAATTTTTCACTGTTATAAGGAATCAGTGAACATTTTTATAGAGAGATTCTTTTCTTTGAGTAGTCTCAAGATAAGGAAAGAGAAATTCCTTGGTCTATGAATATGATCCTTTTTATGGCTGTTGATTTTTATTGTCAGTTTTATTTCTGAAATGAATGTGTAAATTTTTAATGCCATCAACTTTGAGCATTTTTATTTCCTTGTAGTCTCACCTGTATTGAATTGTTACTTTAAAAATTGTTTCAAATTTAACTGATATAATGTTGATGGCATCAAATTATTTTAATTTTTATTTGTTTGTTAACAGGATTGTATTACTGTTGCTGTAAACATCTTTTCCAAAGTTGTTTCCTTTTTATTTATCTGTAAGTGGTCTTAGTGATGTTTCATTACTAAGAATGACTACTTTGTTATTGTTTTTTCTTAAGAATGGCTACTTTAAATTGAACTTACGCTATGTCGATTATTTTAGAAACTGGTTTTTAATAGTCACAAGTATTCTATGAAAACAAGTATTTGTATTACCCATTTACATTGGGGAACACTGAGGTTCGTAGAGGTTAAATAGTTTTCTCAAGATCACATAGGAAGGAAATGAAACAACAGGGTTGTGATTTGAACTCTGGTTGACTTTATTCCTAAGGCTTTTCTCTTTATCATAGTATATATTTTATGTATATTAACCTTTTGCTGTGTTTATTGAAAATATTACTACTGGTTTTTCAGTTTTTCTTGTGGCATGAAAGTTAATCATTATACAGTCAAATTTGTGGATATTTTGTAAAATCCTCTATAGTCTGTTTTAACTTATTTCTGAAAATTTTTTCAATATTTTGGAATAAATTTTGCATTTTTTTTTATAGTGTTATCTAAGTTAATAATGATTTCTTGGAAAATACTTTTTGGTTTTAATGGTTATTTTTATCCCAGGTTAAAAATCTAATCTATATAATGCCTTTAGATTTTTTTTTTTTACCATTGAATCTTTTTCTCCTCTCCTCTCTCATCTCCTTTACTTATTTGCCCTTTAGGCAGAAGATTCTAAAAAGTACTGAGGAGCAAGAGTTGGAGAAGAGAGTGAAAATGCAGCAGGAAGTCGTAGAGATGCGGAAAAGGAATGAAGAATTCAAAAAGTTTGCTCTTTCAGGAGCAGGTCAGTTTGGTTCTCATTGAGTCTGATTTATGAGGTAGTGCTTCTTATAACCTTGTTAGAGTTTTTAAAGTCTCAAAAGCAAAAATGTCTTTCTTGGTCAGTAGTCAGTGTAAAAAGATGTGTTTATTTAGGAGGCTGGACATGGGTACCATTCATATCCCAGTGATCATTCCCTGGAATGTTTTATGTATGTTGGTCGTTTCTTAGAGCATGCTGTCATTCCTCTCCATCTCTAACTGTAGAAGGGACACCCATCTTTTTCTTTTTTCCACACCCATCTTTTGAGGTCTTTTCCATGAGTCCTTACCTCATTTTCCCAAGTAGAATTAATCTCTCCCTCTTTTTTCCTCCTAATTCTTTTTCTTTGTATTGGAAAAAGAAGGAACTAGGATTAAGACAGAAGATAGAGCAGTTGGACAGACCAATTTTTTTTTTTTTTTCCTATTTTATCCTAGGCAGAAGAGAAGAAGGTTGAGTGAGGAAAGTATACCTGAGAGAGCTGAGGGATCAGAGTTCTGCTTTGCTTCATTTAGCATAATTATATTGGTGAAGTCAAAGCTGTAAAGCTTTGCTTACTGGGTTGAAAAGCATCTTTGGAGTTTATGGGGTCTCCCTCTTAGAGATGCTTAGTTAAGTGTGTTTCTAAAGTCATTTCATAGCTTTTCTTGTCAAAGGTATTCCAGTTTCTCTCTGTCTCCAGAACTATGAACACACCTGAGAGATGGGATTCTTCTCCCCTCTGCTACCTTATTACAATTTGCACCTGACTGAAGGGCCTCAAACTCAATAGTACTAAATGAATAAGGCACATATATTGGTGTCCTTGAGGACTGTTTCAAGTTGGGTTATACGCAGAGAGTAAATAAAGTTAGATCCATGGTAATAGAAATACCCAAAGGACTGAATAAAAAGGGACTTACTCTATGTATGTTCTGTATTCTTAGTGTTACCTGTATGTTTTACTGTACTTTTTACTCAGGGCAACCTGTGAAGAAATCAGTGAGTCAGGTTACCAAATCAGTTGACTTCCACTTCCGCACAGATGAGCGGATCAAACAGCATCCTAAAAACCAGGAGGAGTATAAGGAAGTGAACTTTACATCAGAACTGCGAAAGCATCCTCCATCTCCTGTAAGTTGACTGACTAAATTAATATTCTTGTTAGTTATTCAGTGAAGATTCTGGTGTGGTATTTATGGTCACTACTTATAGTAATGTACTTGAGAGAAACATGTGTTTTTGAGTTACAATAGATCTAAATCCTCACTTTGCCCCCTGTTAGCTGTGTAATCTTAAATAAATCACTGTCTCTGGGGAGCATCTTATCAAATTCCTATGAAAACTGAATTGAGAATGTACATAAAACACATAGGATTACATGTGGCAAATTGTAGGTACAGACTTGTTACAGCTTGTGCTATTAAAAATTTGTTTAAAAAAATCTTGTGTCTGCAAAGTTTTGTGCAAAATATAATGGGTTTATGGGGAAGGTCAAGTTGGGGTAGACCACTGAAATCCTATGCAGTTTTGTTACCAGAGCACTAACAAAAGCAGTAATAATCCTAAATAAAAAATCTAGCACTAAGAATTTCTACTTGCATTTGCAATTACCATCATCATTTTTTTTTAAAGTAAGTTCGTCTCTTTTTAAAAAATTATTTAATTTTTGTTTGCACTGGATCTTTATCATTGTGTGTGGGCTTTATCTAGTTGCGGCCAGTGGGGGTTACTCTTTGTTGTGGTGCATGAGCTGCTCATTGCAGTGGCTTCTCTTGTTGCAGAGCACAGGCTCTAGGCATATGGGCCTCAGTAGTTGCCAGTACATGGGCTCAGTAGCTGGGACTCTTGGGCCCTAGTGGGCACAGGTTTCAGTAGTTGTGGTTGCTCCACAACGTGTGAAATCTTCCCAGACCAGGGATCAAACCCATGTTCCCTGCATTGGCAGGAAGATTCTTATCCACTGTACCACCAGGGAAGTCCACCATCATTACTTGTTTAAGTCAGTCCTTTGCAGACTTAAATCCTGGAGTTGTGCTTCTTCCTTTGAGATGTAGGTCCTTGAGTTTTACTTCCAGTCAGAAACTAATTTTATAAAAATTAATGACCCAAGGAGTAGACTTCTTCATTAGTCAGTTTTGGGGTGGGATATGAGAAGAGAATTTGATTCAGGTAGCTGCCTGAGCTGATCCAGAAGCCCAGTTAAAATTTTTAAATGACTTGGGGTGGGATACCTGTACAGCTTTTTTCCCCTTCTAATTCTAAGAAAACTTGCTTTTGATTGCTTCAAAACATAAGCATGCTTGGGAAAAATCACCTTATGTACAGAATAGACAATTTGTTAAGTGCTGGATGCTTTCTCCCCCTTTTTAAAAGATGGGAGTATACGGATTATAACCCATGCTCAAGGACCGACAACTTAAGAAGAAGATTCTTGGCTTTCCATGGATTCTTTTCCTTTTGATCCTCTGCTGAGTTTGAGGCTTGTGGTGGATCTGAGCTCTTCCATAACATTTCATTTAGTGAATGAATTCTTTCTTTTCAGGCCCGAGTGACTAAGGGATGCACCGTTGTTATGCCTTTCAATCTGTCACAAGGAAAGAAAAGAACATTTGATGAGACGGCTTCTACATATGTTCCCCTTGCACAGCAGGTCGAAGCATTCCATAAACGAACTCCTACCAGATACCACCTGAGGAACAGGAAGGATGATATTAGTAAGTTTCTTTCTAGTATCATGCCTGGCTGGAGCCTCCCCTAGAATTCCCTTTGCTTGCATCTTAGGTACAAATTTGTCTTTAGTTGAAATCCTAGTTTTTGAACTAAAGCATGGCATATGTTGTATGCAGACAACAAATGTACCCATAGTTGAACATTTCTCAAAACACCTAGATGTCTGTCCACTTACACCCATCAACCACCTTGATCCTCCTGGTCAGTAACTGGCTGAGGGGAATTAAGGTAACATGAGATGTCATGACACATCACGGTTATCTTTGCCATGTGTCCAGGTGCACACTTATCTACAGAAAATGAAAGCTTTCTATTCACTTAAATGTTGTGTGCTTTTTGTTCATCAATTCAATAAATGTTGACTACTACGAAGCAGACACTCTGTGTGATGTAGGCAGTATAGAAGTGAGCAAAACAGACTTGGTGCTACTCAACATCAAGTTTGTAATTCAGTGAGAGAGATAAACAGGTCATCACAGATTATTGTGAGTGCTGTGAATGTGTATGTAAATGTAAGAATCAAAGGAAGTGCGAGATAGGGAGAGCAGATCTGTGTGCTGAGAAGTCCAGGCATGGAAATACAGGAGAGAAAAGAGATAACCAATGGTTAAGACCCTGTGCAGGTAGGAGAAGGATACTTAGCACGGATGGGGTGATTGTTCTTTGCAAGGAGAGTAGAAGAGAGCAGTGAGTGCAAATGTTGCTTAATTTGTAGATTTGGTGGTGAACAGATGAGAGGAAGCTAATCTAACAATGTCTGTCTTTATGAAAATAACTCCTAAAAGAAGTTTGAGGACTGGAGGTGTGGTGTAAACTAGTTGTCAACAGTGCAGGGTAGTATTCTGGATAAAGCAAAATCTGGTTGTTTGACTTTGAAGGTTTCTAAATTTTTCCTGCCTTTGCCTAGGCACTGTTTAGTGCTATTTTAGGTAACAGATGAGTTAGTTCCTTTAAGGACAGCATTTCCTAATGTTATTATGTTCTAGTAGCCATTTGTCAAATTTTATATCATGAAAATAATCTTTTTTATTCTAATGGAAATGTAAGTATTAACCATGACTTTTCAAATATATATGACTTTTAGAGTCTGGTATTCTGCTCTTAGAATCTTGGTTCTAGCAAATAGAAAGAAAAATTATTTTCTGCAGTTTTTCTTCCTTTGAGATGTAGGTCCTTGAGTTTTACTTCCAGTCAGAAGTAATATTTATTTATAATTTTGGTCTATTATAGCTCAATAATAGTTATATGTATACTTGAAGCCTGGCTTATTTCTAAAATAAGTAGATTTGGTTTCCATCTCCAATTGTTAGGTGGTAAGGCCTAAATTAGAAAATTCATTCTGGGTAATTATGAAAATTGACAAGGTTGCTTCTGGCCAGGTAAATAGTATTTTCTATGAATGGTGATGATGATCTTAATATTGATGCTTTGACATAGGTTTTTTTTCTTTTCTTTTTTTACTTTTTCTGTTTGACTTTCTGTGGGAGATAGTCTTGATGTTTTGATATAGATGCTTTTAAGAAGTTCATAATATTGGAAATTATTACATTTTTTAAAATGCCTTATTTTAAGTCTTATTTGTCAATAACATGCAGAATAGTTGGCACTGTCAGTAGAAAGGAAGTGCAGGCCTCTGCAGTGATAAGAAATCCATCAGACACAAATGGATTTTCGATGCAGAAGTTGATAGCAGAGTTCCCACAGGCTACCTTTATCATCACCTCCCAGTAAAGAGTGATAGGGGAGAAGGGACTGAATGTTTGTCAGACTGACTGATGTGAGCTGAGCTGAGTGTGAGGGACCAGCCACTCTGTGGCTTAGCATCTCTGGGCTGCCAGCTGAGTCAGCACCTACAGGTAAACGGGGTCTTAGCTAGGTAAATGTCTGTGATCTTGGTTTACAGTGCCATTACCCTCCAAATCTGTGGTCAGAATATGCAGAGACCCACAGACTCCAGTGCTGCAAACCAAACATCGTACACGGCCTGTGACCTGCAAAAGTGCAGCAGATCTGGAAGCTGAGGAGCTTGAGAAGCAGCAACAGTAAGTTCCACTGGCAGTATTTGAGGAAGAGTTCCAAGAACCTGCCTGCTTCCTTTTCACTTCTGTAAGGGGGGCAGTTACTGTTTTTCTTGCCTTGGGAATTATGGTATTTGAACTACAGGCTCTGCCTTGCCTCTGTGATGAAAGGATTGAAAGTGGGAGTAGGGTGCTGTCCTGGAGTGTAAACTGGTTAAAAAAAAAAAAAATCAGAGGTTGGGGTGGGAGAATTTTACGATTCCAGTAAAGGGTGGCTTTTGAGGTTTAGGTAAATCTTACCCTTTTATGGCTACCCAAGGGATCGTTACAACTGTTACCAGTGGAGAGAACTGGAATTTAATGTGAGTTAAGTCTGGGGGTTGTCTCCTGTAGCCTTCTTTCTCCCTTCTAGTACTTCTTTTGGGAAGGGGGAGTTTCTTTTCTCAAAAGAAGTACAAGAGAAACCCCAGTCTTTACAGTGGTGGGGATGTTAGACTGTCTTGTTTTTTCTTTGCTCTCGAGGCAGGGATAATGGCTATGGAGAGAGTTGAATTTTGTTGCACATGATGGATAATCTTAAATGATTACTTTTTTTTCCCCTGGTTTTGGCCTGCTTTGTTGTTTAGTTTTCATTTTATTAAAAAAATTTTTTTTGTATGGTTAGCACTTAAACTCTCGCCTTACAGATACAAATTCAAAGCACAGGAACTTGATCCCAGAATTCTTGAAGGTGGGCCCATTTTGCCTAAGAAACCACCTGTGAAGCCACCTACTCAGCCTGTTGGCTTTGATTTAGAAATTGAGAAAAGGATCCAGGAGCGGGAGTCAAAGAAGAAATTGGAAGAGGAACATTATGAATTTCATTCCAGGCCCTGCCCTACTAAGATCTTGGAAGATGTTGTGGTAAGAGTGGTGAAGCCCTGAGAGCTGGTAGAAGTGTCATGTTCACTACCACATATCCACCCAGTCACACATGTTTGGATACTGTGATCAGGACATCACATTAGGAGTTCAGGGTGAAAAAGAGACATGTCAGAGGTGGATTTTGCCCTTAGGAAACCGAGTCCAGTATGGTATCATATAGTAGCCAATGGCAGAGCTGGGATATGAATTTAGGTAATATAGTTCAAAGGTCCATGCTCTTGTATTAAAATAGAAGGTACCTTTTAAAATGAAAGGTTCTTAGGAAAATGTGTGGTTATTTTTTAAAAAACTATCTACATCCTACCTAAATATCACCAGTATTACCTGAACTCCATTTTTAGAAACACTGATTGAGGAAATTGGTTTGGCAGTTTGTTGTAATTTGGAAATGTTGTGGGGAAGGGTGACTAGAGTTCATTAGGAGTTAGTTAAGTGAGATCATAGAGTAGTGTTGTACTGGGTAATGCGTTGTTGTGAGTTCTGGATAAACGGATCAGCAAAACACTAGGTGAATAAGAAGCTACTGAACTGATACGGTATGCTGTAGGGTAGTCGCTGCCAAATCAACTGGGCCTCAGAGTCCTCTGGGATTTTGTTACATAAACAGATTCCTGGGCCCCACCCCTGGAGTTTTGATTTGTCAGGTGCAGCATAGATTAGAGAGCCCCGATGAAGACCTTAGTGTCTGACACAGAGTAAGCAGTCATGTTGTTAATAATAATAACTGTTGCATGCTTACATTGTGCAGCGTTTTTACATAGATTGTCTTACTCATTTCTCATAACAACTCTTAGGAAATAGGTTCTGTTTTTGTCCCTACTTTTCAGATTAGCAAAGAGATGCTAAGAGGTGTCTAGTATGCAGAACCAGGATTTGAACCTGTCATCTCCTTAAACACTGTGTTTCTCTACCTCACAGTTCTGTTATCATTATTTATTCTGGCAAGTGCAGTTTTGAGTTTGTTTTCAGCTCTTTCCCTACTGAAATTTCCAGGTACTTCAACTTTTGGATTCTAGAGAAAACAAAGCGTTGAAGGAGTCATAGATATATTTATTCCTTCTACTCTCCTCATTTTTTCGAAATGGGGGGCTTGCTTTGAAGGAAGAACGTGGCTTGCCCATAGGAACATTTTTAAAAGTTGGTGGCAGAACTGAAGTTAGCTGTCTTAACTTTTGGTGCTGGACTCTTATTTAAAGCAGAAGAACATGCCTCCAGAGCCTGGGTGCAGCTGTCTGTCTGCCACTGTTTGTCCCCTCAATGCTGAAGCTCTCTTTCCTTGTGTCCTTAGAGTGTTTCTTGTGCTCTCCCACTTGTTGATAGGTGGCAAGGAGACAATGGGGCTGATGAGAGATGGGCTTGGGCAGCAGTGGGCCTTGAGGCAGGGATGAGAAAAGGGCTCTTGGGCCGAGGTAGAGTGATGAAAGCCTTGAGCTCCAGGGTGTGAAATGTGAACTTGGTGCCGACATCTAGTGGGGAGTTGGGGCTCCACAGAGGTGGATGTGGTATCAGTGAAGCCAGTGAGTAATTTTAGCAGTGATATTTTAGGGACTTGGGGAGACCAGCAGTCTTTAAAAAATTATTTTTCATGGTCCCTGAGATAACATTGCTTCATGGTAATTTCCTAATTGCTCTGGGACAGGCCTGATAACTTGTCCCAGGGCACATGGGGTATATCTGCCTTAGGGAGACATGCTTACCCTTTACATCCCATCCTGGGCTGCTTTTCCTAAATGTGTCTTTTATCCATCCACGTTGCCCACTTATACCCATTTATCACCTCTTTAGAAATACCCTCCTTCAGCTTCCTTTCAGAGCTTCCCCATTCCTTCAGCTCCATATTCTGTTGGGTTTCTTCAGAGCACTTGTGAAAATTAAGAAATACTTGGTTTATTACTTTTTCATTGTCTTTTCTCTCCTCCACTAGAATGTAAGCTCCCAGATAGCAAGGACCATGTCTATCTGTATTGTTCACTCCTGCTTCCCCAGCATCTAAGCATAGCATAGGCACTGGGGTATTGAACAACTGTGTAAGAGACAATACAAGCTGAAATCTATCAGCCTGTGTTAGACACTGGGAATTCGAATGAAATCAGACACAGCCTTCATCCTCAAAGCTTTCACAGTCTGAAAGAGCAGATTGGCATATAGACAAATAAGGACAGTAATACTAATCAGCATATGTTCCCTGAACCATTACTACTTCTTGTAGGTGCTGTAGAGAACGCAAAGGAATGCAAATGGCAGTATCTCTACCCCCAGGGAGCTTATAACTAAAACAATTTAATACAGTAAAACAAGCGGCTTTCACTGTTTCTAGAAACCCAGTTTCTTTATCTCTATTTCTGAATGAGGCCCCTATTGGCTTTGATTGCAGTGGAGATGGGATATGGATAAATAGTTGCTGCAAAGTTGATTTTTATAAATCACCTTTACTTCTCCCCTAAGTAATATGAGGATTGATCCCACTCATAAAAATATCTCTTTCCTGGCTTACTTGTTAGAGATTTCTTTTAAAATGCACATCTCTCTGCTGGGAGGATGCAGACAGAGGGGAAAAGTAGGAAATGAGGAATTATTTAGAACTAAATGAGTTCTCAGATATTTATTTCAATTATTTTTATGAAAAGGAAAAAAAACCAAGGACACATTATACAGATTGGAATGAAAGCTGGGCTAGAACAGACCTCTGACTTCTTGTTCAGTGTTCTTTCCATTTCCACCTGTCTTGGCTGTGTTCAAGCTCCAGGCTGGTGTCCACCTGTCCAGGATGTAGAACAACAGATTTTTGTTGTTTTCTGGTAAGCATTAGATGAAAACCCATTTCATAAACTTTTGTCAGTCTGGTTATAAGTTCTGTATTAAATTTTACTATACTAGTGATTCTGATTTTCTTTGGAAAGTGTGTGACAACTTTTCACAGCAGATTGAAGCTCCCCTTTACAGTAGTCACCTTGAGAGAGTATGTATTCTTTCCAAAGATTGATAGTGTACAAACCACTTTGGAAAAGCCACTTGTCTTGGATGTTGTGGCAGCTTTTTGGATCTCTTCAACAAGACCAGGTCTTGATATTTTAAAGATTAATTAGCTTGCAGGAGTTGGTCTAAAGTCATTCAGAACTAAAACTCCAGAGTAGTCCAAAATAATAGAGCTGGAAACAATATTGCTTAGTTAAAACTAAAGAGTGAGCAACTGCCTTGGCTGGCCGTAAAACTGGCTTTGAAGGCCACTCCAAGAAAGACATTCCAAACATGTTTGGAGCAGTTGCAGCATTGTTGGGATTAAGAAGTGTCTCCCAAGGTATAAATTAGAGTCCAAGACTCTTCAAGTCCAAGGTATTAATTCTGTTATTCATGCTTACAGTATTCATTCAACAAACATTTACTGAATGCCTTATACTTGCCAAGATCTGTTAGGTATTAGGGATTGATGGAATAACAGTCCCTACTCTCAAAGCACTCAGAGCAGGAGGAGATGAATATCTTAAATCAACAAGTGCAATGAAGGGTTTTTTTTAAACAAATTTATTTATTGTTGCTGTGCACAGGCTTTCTCTAGTCGATGTGAATGGGGGCTCTTCTCGAGTGGTGCACGGGCTCTAGGGAGCTCCGGTTCGTCACTAGTTGTGACCTATAGGCTTAGTTACCCAGTGGCATGTGGGATCTTCCCAGACCAGGGATCAAACCTGTGTCCCCTGCATTGGCAGGTGGATTCTCAACCACTGGACGACCAGGGAGGTCCTGCAATGAAGTTTTTTTATGTACCATAATAGACTATGTACAAGGGAGAGTGGGGTCAGTAGGTTCAGGGACTGATCTCTTGAAGGGTTTTATACGAGAGGAGATGCTTTAGTGGAGGCTTGAAAAGAAAGATTAGATACTTCCCAGCAGCTGGAGCATTTCAGAGAGGGCATAAAGTTAGAAAGTTGAAAGTTAAGTCGCTCAGTCGTGTCCGACTCTTTGCGACCCCGTGGACTGTAGCCCACCAAGCTCCTCCGTCCATGGGATTTTCCAGGCAAGAATACTGGAGTGGGATGAGAACCAGTGTTAAATTTTGGCAGTTGCCAGTAGTTCATTGTGGCTGGAAGGTGATGCCTAAAAAGGGACAGGAGACATGCCTGGAGAGTCAGGCAGGGTACCAAATTATGAAGCACCTTGTCCTTCATGCTAAGGGGTATGCTATACTGTTGTAAGTAGACATTAGGAGCCATTAAAGAATTTTAAATCAGGAAGTAACATGATCAGATCTTTTGATTGTTTAAGAAGATGGACTTGCAGAATGAGATGAGACACTGAAAGCTGTTAGTGGGCTAGTGGAATGGTACAGGCAATAGATAGTGTGGCTTATGGCATAACAGTGAAGAGTTAGAGAAGTGGAATAGAGAGCTGATGGGGGAAGCATATGGATGTGAGTGTAACAGATAAGGAGTTACTGAGGATGTCTTTAAGATCTTTTAAAAATTGATCTGGTCATACACTTTATGCAGAACAACAGCCCTGGAGATCGCCAGATTCATGATAGAGGGTAAACTCTAGCAGAGTTAGAAAATACTTATGGAACAGCTTTCTAAAATATGTTAGTTTTGAATCACGTGTGTAGTATGATACACATAATTCAGTCAGAAAGGATTTGAAATGTTGGCAGTGTTTTGGAGTCACAAAGCAGGAAAATCTTCAAAGGAGTTGAATGTATAAGAATTAAGGAATATAGAGATTAAAAGCCTCTTTTAATCTGCTCTCAAAGAGATGTGAGAGTTGACAGTTTGGTATTCTTTTCATATTTTATTTTCTATGCTTAGATTAATTATATATACATTTTGTTTTATTTTTAGTGTATGTGCAGGTATCTTTTAGTTTGACTTATTAAAATTTTTTTGGAGTATAGTTGATTTGCAGTGTGTTAATTTTAGATATACAGCAAAGTGATTCTGTTATATACATATAGTCATTTTTTTCAGATTCTTTTCCCATATAGATTATTTTAGAATATTGAGTAGAGTTCTCTGTGCTATATAGTAGGTCCTTGTTGATTTTCTATTTTATATATAGTAGTGTATGTATTAATCCCAAGCTCCTAATTTATCCCTGCCCACCCCCCACTCTCTGCCCCTGTTTCCCCTTTGGTAACCATAAGTTTATTTTTGAGATCTGTGAGTCTGTTTCTGTTTTGCAAGTAAGTTCATTTATATTATTTAAAAAATTTTGATTCCACATATGAGTGATAGCATATATTTGTCTTGCTACATGTAAATTTTAAAAACAAAATATTTTGTGTTTCAGCCACTTGTCTCTCCTCTCAATATTATGAATACTGTTCTGTGTCAGTAATGAAGATTTATTCTTTTTGATGACTGTATAATATTCTAGTGTGTGGATATGCACCACAATTTAAGAAAGGATTTAACCAGTTGTTTTTATTCTTTTTAAAAATGTTATATTGAAATATAGCTAAAAACTAAACTAGAGATCAAATATTAGGGTGTAATACTGGGTGAAAGAGTATGACCATTTAAAGGTTTAATAGCTAATTCCTAAAGATTGTACCAGCTTGTGTCCTGTACCTCACCCAGCTGTATGTGACTGCCCACTTCTCGTCACATGCCAACTAACACTGGTATTAATCAGTCTTTAAAGTGTATTACTCTATCTTTTAGGTGAAAAATGCCTGATTATAGTTTCTAAAATTCTTGAGATTAAGCGTCTTGTGTATCTTTGGTAACTTCTTGCTCTTTGTCCAGTTATTTGGCAAAAGGAAATTAAGCTAGGCCTTGCCCAGTGCTTTTTTCCATTCACCTTTTGAGGGTAACATTTTAAAATATAAGTTCTTAATGTAGAGCTGTATGTGAAATAGGTTTAGGAGAATGAACCATATTCTGTCCCTAGTTAACATTTGGAAATCCTTTTTGATTTTGTTTTTAAGGGATTGGGGTATAAAAGGGAGAGAATCAATAAAATATTGATGTTAGTTTATTTTGGGGTGTTTTTCAAGAATACCAAAAAAGATTTTGATGAGTTTTATTTTTTATTGAATATACAACTCAAACTATGTTTTTTGCTGATCTTCTGTCATGCTAATCCACCTTTGGGAGTACTAATACATACCTGTGTTAGGTGGATAAATAACAACTAGCCTTTTTTGATTTCTGATACATGAAGTTCTAAGAAAAGTATTAATTTCATCACATAACCTAGTTGAGATTGCTCTGGGATATCTAATTGAATTGCTTACTCCCTTCAGGGTGTTCCTGAAAAGAAAGAGCTTCCAATCACTGTTCCAAAGTCACCAGCCTTTGCTCTGAAGAACAGAATCAGAATGCCCACCAAAGAAGATGAGGTGATTCCCTAGGATGGGATCTTTACTCCTGCATAATCAATTTAAGCACTGCGTGCATGCTAAGTCACTTCAGTTGTGTCTGACTCTGCAATCCTATGGACTGGGCTCCTCTGTTCATGGGTTTCTCCAGGCAAGAATACTGTAGAGGGTTACCATGCCCGTCTCCAAATCTAAGCATTACTCTTTCTTAAACAGAGAGGAATTCAAAGGCAGTCATTCTCACCTGGAGTTGTCTTAACAATAGGTATGAATGATTGATCATCTATTTTTGCTCTTCCAAGAACAAAGTAGTAAGTGTATGAGGCTCTTTGCCAACAAAAGTCCATCTAGTCAAAGCTATGGTTTTTCCAGTAGTCACACACGGATGTGAGAGTTGGACCATAAAGAAAGCTGAGTGCCGAAGAATTGATGCTTTAGAATTATGGTGCTAGAGAAGACTCTTAAAAGTCCCTTAGACAGCAAGGAGTTCAAGCCAGTCAGTCCTAAAGGAAATCAACCCTGAATATTCATTAGAAGGACTGATGCTGAAGTGGAAACTCTGATACTTTGGCCATCTGATACAAAGAGCTGATACATTGGACAAAACCCTGATGCTGGGAGATTGAGGGCAGGAGGAGAAGGGGGCAACAGAAGATGATATGGTTGGACGGCATCACCAACTCAGTGGACATGAATCTAAGCAAACTCTGGGGCACAGTGAAGGACAGGGAAGCCTGGTGTGCTGCAGTCCATGGGGTCTCAGAGTTGGACATGGCTTAGCAACTGAATGACAATGATGAGTCATTTCGGCTTTCAGTGGTAACTGGTTGTAACGACTTATGTTTGTTTCCATTGGATTGGAAAATAAGTCTTTTTTTAAGACCTATACTCTATTTTGCCTACTATTGTCATCATTTGGTGAAGGATTTTTAAAATTCACACTAAGTAGTTACATCTGCCCTGTCCTATCTCCATTGACCCAAGGGTTAAAGAGGTGACTATGTGGTGATGGTTCATGAAGTTGGAATATATAAACTGTCATTGATCAGGCTAGTTTCTTGTTACATCTCCCTTTTTATCTATAAATATCCAGAGTTAGGGTAATTTTATAGCATATGTCAAGCCTTTTTATAGATTCATTTGAAACTAGAATACACAGTAATCTTATGTTACCAGCTTGAACCCAGTCAACTTACTTGGTCCTATTCTGGGTTTGGCAACTGGAAATACTCCCAGTCACATGTTTTAGTGGAGTCTAGAGGCTGGGTCAATGAAGAGGCCAAGGTATATGCTTGGTTAGTACTTTTCTTCTGTTGTTCATTTTACTCACACTGTTTGAGCTCATTTAGTTTTTTCAACCTTCCTGTGAAAAATTTTAGATCCTTTAAAAGTAATTGTGTTAATTTATCAAATGCTTTCACGTTGATCTCACCCCTGTGAGTTAATAAATGACTTAGTAGGTTGGTGAGTTGGTAGGTATCCCTCTTTAATAGAAAAGGAAGCTAAGACACTTGAGAGGTTGAGTGACTTGCCTTAATGACTTCTTTCATATATTGTCTTCTGACTTCACATTCAGAGGAGGGGAGAGTGAAAAGTCTTGTCTCTAAACTGCAATTTTTTTCCCTTAGGAAGAGGAGGAGCCAGTAGTGATAAGAGCTCAACCTGTGCCATATTTTGGAATGCCTTTTAAGCCCCAGATCCCAGTGGGAAGAACTGTGGAAGTATGCCCTTTTTCTTTTGATTCCCGAGACAAAGAACGTCAGTTACAGAAAGAGAAGAAAATAAAAGAACTCCAGAAAGGAGAGGTAGGTGTTCCATTTCTATAAGTAGCATAATATTAATACTAGTCTTTAATCTCTCAAAGGTAATCTTTTATCTTGCACTTTTTATTTTATTTACTATTTTTTTTTATCTTGCACATTTTATTTATTTATTTTATTTTTATTTTTATTTTTTTTTTATCTTGCACTTTTTAAAAACTGGGTTTATTTGGCTGTGTCGAGTCTTAGTTGTGCCTTGCAGGATCTTCGTCACAACACATGGACTCTAGTTGTGGTTCATGTACTCCAGAGCATGTGGGCTCTCTAGTTGCCCCATGACATGTTAGTTCCCTGTGTTTCCTGCAATGGAAGGCAGTTCTTAACCACTGGACCACCAGGGAAGTTCCTTATGTTGTACTTTTAACGTATAATCACTAACTTCCTTTGATCCCTCTAAGAACCTTATGAAGTATAAATAGGGCAAGTAATTTAAATAACCGTTCTGGAAGTTAAGCACAAGGAAGTTAAGTGACTTGCCCATGATCATGCTGGTAGTTATTGGCAAAATTGGGAGGAAAACCTTGATTTCCTTATGAGCCTATTAGTGTTCTGTACCATGCTGGTTTGAAAACTTGCCTTTCAAATTTTCCAGATTCATCCAAATATTCTGGAGCAGCTGTGACTTTCTGACTAGAAAGGCCTTATCTTAAATCTTAAATTTTCTTTTCTCTTAGGTGCCCAAGTTCAAGGCACATCCTTTGCCTCACTTTGACACCATTAGCCTGCCAGAAAAGAAGGTGAAGAATACTACCCAGGTTGAGCCATTCTGCTTGGAGACAGACAGAAGAGGTGCCCTGAAGGCACAGACTTGGAAGCACCAGGTGGGGATGGGGAGAGCAGCTAAAATGTGAATTGCTTGACGGTTTGTTACAATAGGTAGACCCGCTATACCAGGCTTCATCTGGGAACTAACACACCGGATTGTTTTATGGACTCTCACTGTAGTCAGGGGTCAGAAAACTTCTTCTGTAAAACACCATATATTAAGTATTACAGATTGTATAGGTTACATATGGTCTCTGTCACATGTTGTATGTTTCAACCCTTTAAAAATATAAAAACCATCTTTAGCCTAAGGGCTGTATAAAAAGACATTGCAAGCTGGATTTGGTCTGCAAGTTTAAGTTTGTAAGTGATCATCTGGAGAATGTGAGAGCTGATAGACTTTTTGTGACAGGAGATTCTTAAAGATCTCATCTATTTCATCTATTAGACTTGTTCATTAAATATTAACTTTTTTCTGTTGGTGCTTTGATAAGAAACTGTGGTAAGAATAGATTCTCAATAGAATATTTTTTCTCAACATAGTATGCTATTTGCTCTTTATAGATGATAGGTGATTTAAAACAGTTAATTGGTTGTTGGCTGGTTTAGTTGGGATCTAATTCTGCCTTGTCTGGGAAAAAATCTCCTGAATCCCTAATTATGTCAGTATTGATATTATGTCTTATTTTGAAATCTGTCCAAAAGGGGCTCTGACTTGATCTTTGTAGAAAGTCTCCCCTGTTGAAGCCCAAGAGATATGATTGATTAAGTTACTAAACCTAGGCCCCTTGTTGGCACTGTTCTCTAGGAGAATTAGGGCTGTTGCTTTGAAAGCAATCATGACATAGAATGTGGGGGGTATTTTCCATAATAAAAAGGTTTTTTAAGTTTTTCAGATGTATATAAAAGAAAGAATAGTATAATGAACTTCCATGAACCTGTCACCCTGTCTTCTAGTGCTCAAAACACGGAAAATCTTATTTCATCTAACTTTCTACCTACTCATCTCTATACTGGATATTTTAGCCTACACAAGATTATTTTGAAGCAAATCCTAGGTGCCATCTCATTTTATCCAAAAATACTTCAGTGTGTAACTTTTAAAATGTAAGGATTAAAAGAATTTTATAACTCCAATGCTATTATCATACTTAAAAAGATTAAGAGTAATTTCTTAATAGTGACAAATAGCATTCATATAGCCCCTATCTCTCATTTTTAAAACAGTTGCATTGTTCAAATCAGGATCAAGAAAAGATCCATATTTTATATTTGTTTGATAAATCTCTAAGTCCCTTTTCATCTATAGGCTGCTCTGTGTGCATTTTATATGTTGAATAAATGGGATTGTTGGTCCTTTCTAGATTTTACAATCTGGATTTTGGTCATTGTGTTCACATGGTATTGATTAATAATCACCTGCTATCTTTATAGATGAAACAGTTCAGAAACATTCAAACTTGAATAATTGAGGTGGTAGTTATAGAAAGTTGGTGGTTGCTTGTCTGACAGATTTTCTTTCTTACAGCTGGATGAAGAACTAAAACAGCAGAAAGAAGCAGCTTGCTTCAAGGCTCGTCCAAACACTGTCATCTCCCAGGAGCCCTTTGTTCCTAAGCGAGAGAAAAAATCTGTTATCGGTAGTATTTTATGTGTTCTTGAGGGATTGGGGAAGAATTGTGAGACTTGCTAGGACTGAGTTGTGTCAGTACAGTGCTGTGTCAACCAGAAGCATTTGCGTATATGGAGATCTAGCGTTTCTTCCTTAGATCTTTGTTGAATGTAGCAGAACAGCATCTGGGTGGAGGCAGCTGGCATTTCAACAACTTTACTTCCCAGCCCAGAGAGTAGCAAGTAAGGAAGGAAGAGCCTGGACTTCACCATAAAGCTAGTCTTAGATAGAAAACATTTGATTCCTTTAAGAACTGAGCTGCATTTCTAGAAAAGTGGGATTCTTCTCCTAAATCTGTCTCTCAGTCTCTGTGTAGTTTTGAGCAAGCCACTATCTGTATGGGTGTTGCTTTTCTCCTAATTAGATGATTTATAGGGGTCCTTACAACCCTGAAAATTTGAGGACTTTTTGTATGTGGTATACTTCACCTTTCTCCTGCTTGGGGTTCCTTTGAGCTCCGCCTTTCTGTTGCAATGCCTCTGTACACTTGCTGGGTCTGTGGGGCTAGGGTTCCACAAGTCGTGCTTGTGCACCAATATTCTCTCTGTTTCTGTACTCAGAGGGCCTTTCTGGTTCTCTAGTTCAGGAACCTTTTCAGCTGGCGACAGAGAAGAGAGCCAAGGAGCGGCAGGAGCTGGAGAAAAGAATGGCTGAGGTGGAGGCCCTGAAAGCCCAGCAGCTAGAGGAAGCCAGGCAGCAGGAGGAAGAGCAGCAGAAGGAGGAGTTGGCCAGACTACGGAAAGAACTGGTAACTAGGCAGCCTAAGTGCTGACTAACCCATGATTGCATCTGTTTTGTTTATCTGTACCATGCCTTGTTCCAGAAGAGATCTAAGGTGGCCTCCAAGGACGCATCAAAGATGAGTGAAACCGAGAAGTCATACAAACCAAGGGTGGTGACAAAGTTGACAAGTGAACAAGGCTAAAGATGTGTATATTGTGATCCATGGATCTCCTAAGTTTATACTATAATTTTGGCCTTTTGTGGGAACCAACCTGTCAGTTGCAAAACTTATCATGGTCAAGAGATACAAACAAACTAGTTATTTTAAAAAATACATTTCTCTTTGATCCTAGATTCAGTCAGAATTTCTTCCTAAAGAGAACATCACATGCTATGCCAGTGCACAATAACACATTTGTAGGACTTTTTAAAGAAATTATTTTTGGTTGTGCTGGGTCTTCATTGCTGTGCACAGGCTTCTCATTATGGTGGTTTCTCTTATTGCAGAGCATGGGCTCTAGGCCCATGGGCTTCAGTAGTTGCAGCACTTGGGCTCAGTAGTTGTGCTCCACGGCATGTGGAATCTTCACAGACCGGGGATTGAACCCATGTCCCCTGCATTGGCAGGGGGACTTCTATCCACTGTACCACCAAGGAAGTCCCAGGACTCTTTATTTAACTTATTTTTATTATTGCCTTAAGGCTTAAGGAATAATAAGGAAACCAGTGTGTTTTACAATTAGAACATATAGGTAAGGAAGGGCATGGGAATTGTGTGACAACTGTATTTTCATTTTCCTCCTAATACTTGATTCAGATTCCTTGGAGTTACAGTGCATATAATCCAGGTGACGTTCCATCCTATCACTAGGTAATGATTTTAATATTAGTTATCCAAAAAGAAAGCTTAATTCACTGTAAAGACCCTTTCACTAAGACAGTAGCAAGCCACATGAACTGCATTAATGAGGAACGTCTTAGATGGAACTTCAAATGCTTAGTGTAATAAAAGGATGACTGTGGAAACACAGAAGTTATTGAGATTCTGTCTAAAATAGCTAAGCGAGCAGTTGAATAGCTGTTGGTAGAGGTGACAATGCCAAGGAAGGCTCTAGGGACAAAATATTAAAGGGAATAGCTTCTTGACAAAAACCAAGCTACCATATGCTGATTAGATGAAAAAATACATATATGTAATCCTCAGTCCAGATACACTCACAAAGCCAGCCTCAAGTGTTTTGACTTTTCTCCACCGCTTGAGTCCTCTTGTGTTTATCAATGTTGTAGAGCTCTTTAATAATCTGGTTTGATTCAGGGTTAAGAACGGATGGGACCATGCCTTCTCCCAGCAACACTTCCTAGTGTTTTGTTTGCTTGTTTGCTTTAAAGTCCATGCTTTTGGTGAATATTAAGACTCAGTAACCATGGCTGATTCATGTCAATGTATGACAAGAACCACTACAATATTATGGAGTAATTGGCCTCCAACTGGTAAAAATAAATGGAAAAAAAAAAACCCAGTAAAATTAAGATTCTACTCTGGCAGATTCTTAAGGTGTGACTCCCCTCTGATGCAATCGAGTACACCCCCATTATACCCCAGTACTGAACAGTCAGACTGGAGGTAGGTGCACTCTGAGGAATCCAGCAAGACCAGAACAGAAATCTACTTGGGGGATGTCCCTGGTGGTTCAGTGCCCTCCAGTGTAAGGGGTGAAGATTCAGTCCCTGGTTGGAGAGCTAAGATCCAGCATGCCTCATGGCCAAAAAACCAGAACATGAAAAACAGAAGCAACATTGTAACAAATTCAATAATGACTTTAAAATGGTTCACATTAAAAAAAAAAATTATCTTTAAAAAATAATAGAAATGAAATCTACTTGGGCTCCAGAGCTCTTAATGCTTTGCTGATAGACTGTGTTGCCTTTCCCCGCCTTCTCTTAATTAGTGACTGGGATGTGCAATACTATACAAAAATGTTCTCAAGAAAAATAAAAACACCCATAAGTGTAGTTCTCTAACATCCTTATCAATGGTAATTGCATTTTTCTCTACAGGTGCACAAAGCAAATCCAATACGAAGATACCAGGGTGTGGAAGTCAAGTCCAGTGACCAGCCCCTGACGGTGCCCGTCTCACCCAAGTTCTCTACCCGATTCCAGTGCTAAACTTGGCTTTGAGCTGCAGATACCATCTGGGAACCTGAGCTGCTTTTTCCATCAAACCAGGAGCCGTCTTTGTCATGGGGGCATAGAGAGAATCCATTTCTTCAGGCTTTTTCCTACCCGTGCCTGACAGAGCATGCCTGACAAGTGTGGACTCCCTATTTCATTGAGAGTTGTTTTCCTATATTATCGTGGCTAATAATGAGACTCAACTCATGTATGTCTCAACCAGACTCTTTGGAACCATCAGTATGATGGTTGACCTTCAGTATGGACCATAATTCTGACTAGAATTTAAGCCTCTGTATCAGCGCAGTATAATTTCTATTGCCCTTATCCCACCTCTCTCTTTCTATTTTAATCATAAAATAAACATAGTTAAATACTGAGAGATTTAAGTCATGGATTAAATTGGAACCATCAGATTCTTTCCTCTTCTCTGTGCAAAATGAATTTAGAGTTAAGGAGCCCATCACTGTGAGTGGGGAAGCCTCATGAACCGCCTGACGAGGAAGAGACTTGACTGACTGGAACCTCACAGTGGCCATCAGCCGGCTTCAGGCAGGGCTGCTGTTCAGACAGATTCTTCCCCTGTTGGTGCTGAAGACAACGGAACGCTAAGCAGTGCATGTGTTAAGTCTTCCAGTGACCTGAACTGGAATTAACGTTTGTCTTTCCCCCCCTTCCCCACAGCCCCGATTTTTTGTTATTTGATGTTTCTACCTCTGCCGAGCCCCTTTAGAGGTCACATCTTATTGGGGAAGTGGGTGCTGTGAGAGGAGAGTCCAGGAGCTTTTAAAAGCATAGGCTCGGTCCTTAAAGGAAAAGTGCTCTTTCCTGTCCTTTGTCAGAATCCGTCCATTGTTCGTTAACTCCCTCCTAGGAGCAACTCTGGAAGCCTGTTATTCCTCCGAAACAGACTGTGCCTTCTTCACATGTGTTCTTTCTCATCTGGTAAACTCTTCCTTATGAAATCCTTCTCATAAATCTTTCCTTGACCGTCTGGTCTCGTCCGGTGAGGATGGTAACTTCCTCCTTTGTGCCTCCCGGCTGTTTCTTAATGTATACGTCTCTAGTAGAACAGGTAAACCACTGAGCTACGTCGGCTTGTTTACAAACTAGCAGAGATGTAGATAACTAAAATTAGGTTACTTCTTGAAGATAAAAATAAGGATAATCATATCTGTGGTCCTTGTATTCTGTTAGCACAGAATTTGCTAGGTTCATGTGAAATAGTTTGTTTTCTTTTAGACTTGATATCGTTTATAAACTCTTACTCTGTACCAGTCTTACTTCTGTGCCACGAGTTAAAGGCTGTATCCATATTCTGCTGAGGCCAGTCAGTCCTAGGCAGTATATACGATACTGGATCTATTTTATATTCCTTTTGTTGATTCATTTGGTGAGCATTATCTACAGTCCATTGCAGATTTAGTGATGGGCAACAAAGCGAGGTGGTGTGATTTGCAGATCCCTGGGTCTCCTGAAGGCCCACAGACTGATACAAAGTGCAGTTCTTTTACTCATTTCCTAGAGATATGTGGTGTATAGTTCTGTAACAACTTGTGTAGTTCATTTACGAAAGATTGCTTTGATGCTAGTTATATATATGTTGGCATTGTTCTAGTCTCTGGGCATATAAGCAATGAACAGAAATAGAAGACCTTGCCTTTATGGAGGTTACCTTTTAGAAGGGAGACAGACAATAAACAAGTAACTGGCCTCTTCTGTCAGGTGATAAATGTTTCTCTGACTGACTGCTGTGTGGAAAATAGACTGAGATGGGGATTTGGGGGCATGTGAGATTGGAAACAGGAAGGAGTGGGAGGTTCTTGCTGTTGTCGGTGAGAACTGGTAGTGGCTTGGGCTAGAGTGGTAGCAGTGGAGGTGATGAGAAATGGTTGGATTCTAAATGGATTTTCAAGCTGTAACTGACAAGACTTGCTTACTGATTGGACATGGAGAGAGTAGAGAAGGGCATTCAAGTATCCGCCTCAAACAGAGAGAGAGTTCTCCAGGCCTTGTGCTGTGAAAAATCCAGTTCTACCCCAGTCCTTGTATCTCTCGTGGATTCTCAGGGGATGAGGAGGACGTTCATGTTTCTTGTCACCTTTCTGATTTTTCTACCTCTAGTCATGTTGATCCCCTCTCTGTGTTTGTCCTTTTCGACTTTTCTCCTTCCCGTGTATCAGCAGTTCTCTTAACAGTTTGCTATCATTCATATAGTACCATCTAAAATCATTTTTTCATATATTTTGTCCATTTATTGTTTCAGTTTCAGATAGAAGAATAAATCTGGCCCTCAAGTTGAGAATTTTAGAGTGTTGTCAAGAATTGTGGACTGTGGGATCCTTCCATCCCGTTTGCTCCAGCCTGGATTACCCGCTCTGGACATACCCACATCAGGGTGGTAATGTGTGACAGTCTCTTAGACACAAGGACGGATTATATTACTTTAGAGAGAATAGCTTTTCAAAGTAAGATGCCTTGCTTCCCAGAATTTCTGGGTGGCTGTCAGCCAGAATTTCTGACTGGCTTCTCAGCACAGTCCGTCTACTATTGAATCCTTTCTTTTGGACCACCTCACGTGACCTTCAGTTTTCTAGTAAAGCCTCCCATTTTCCCTGAAAATCAAACTGCTTTTATTTTACAGAGAAATTCGGGTTCTATTTTTTTCCTTCAGGACTTGTCCAAGAGGAAGCTTCACTTTTAATACTCAAGCTACCCTGGAATTTTCCTAAACAAAGAACTGGACCTCTAATAGAAATTTACTGAATTCTACTGAGAAATCTGGTGGCCATACTTGGCTTGGCAGTTTTGTAAAACTCCTAGCATATGTGCACATGCAGATTATTGGAATTCCCACACTTTCTGGGAAGGACTCTTGTTTTCAGTGTTGTTTTGACTTGGTCATGGTTCCCCATTGCTAGTAGTTTTATGCTAATTAACTACTAATTATGCTATTATTATTATTATTATTAACTATGCTAATTATTGTTCACTCTTAATTTGATCATTTTGTTCTTGTGTAATTGCTTTATTGACATTTTGACTACTGTTTTATTCCTTATCAGTTCTTCTCCACAGAATTTTGTTCTTGGAAAGTGCAGCTTAAGTGGTAGACAGGCTTCAGTGGCATTTGCTCCAGCATTTAATGGAGATAAGTCTTGTACACAAATAGTTGTCATACAAGATAGGATGTGACTGAGTAACAGGAGACAGAAAAAATGCTGCAGGAATTTAGAAATTCTTGGAGATTGCCGTTCTTAAAGATGTCTCTTCTTTTAAGTAAAAATTACGAAAGTAGTACAGTCATCCCTCAGTATCCACAAGGGATTGGTTCCAGGACCAACTGTATAAAACCTGAAAGTCTCCCTTACTGTCCCTTGTCCCATTCCCCGAGAGTTACCCATTATTAACAGTTGTGTATTCTTCCAGAATGTTTTTTGTATACACACACAGTCACAGAGCATTTTTTAAATAATAAGATGATAGCATTATGCATTTGTCTTTAATTTATTCTTTGAAGGTTATATGTCACGTTATTCAAAATTCGAAAGCTGCAAAGGTGTTTAGTTCCCCACTCCAGGTATAGTTGGTGCTGCCAGGGTTGTTCCCTTGCAGAGATGGCTTCAGCATGGATGTATTCCTACTTGTCCTCTCTTATTTTTCCACACATAGTGTCATAATTTACACTCTGCACCTTGCTCTTTTCATATGTATTTTGCATTGGGTGATATGACTTAGGTGCTACCTTGGGCATTGTGATAGCTTTCTCCCTGGAGAAAGTATGAACCCTCTTAGGAGAATCTAATGATGTGGAGGCAGACCTGGAGTGGGGTCTAGTTCTGTGTGACATCCTGGCCAAGTGACCTGAGGTCCCAAGGGCTCGAGGTCAGGTCAGCAACACCTAGTCTTTTAGCTTCTCTTGACTTCTCTGAAACCTTGAGGGCTTATTGGCCTGAGTATCTGGTTAAACCTGTGTATCCTCTCTGGTAAGTCTTGATGTGCTTCCTTTTCAGTTCCCTTCTGAATCTTGTCTGCTGGGGAAGTTCCTCATTGCTGAGAGTAGCAGTTAAAAAAGCTGTCAGCCACGTGGCTGGGCTCCTATTTCTGCACAGGCAGGCTGAGTAACAACTTGGTGGTGTGGATCCAGGTAGAAACTGGCCAGCATTCTGAATCTGCCTTGCAGCTTGCTGGGATGCTCAGTTTAGACAACATAAAAAGTTTCCTGGATACAGGACAAACCCAGGCCTATGGAAAGAGCAGGAAGGTTAAAGTGTGTGGTACTTTGAGCAGTGACAAAGGGGTAACCAGGGAGCTGACATGTTTGCTCCAGTGCCAAGAATTCCAGGACAATTTGTTACTCAACCGAAGCCTGTGTAGTTGCTACAAAAAGGAAGCCTGGGGACACACCTCTTCCTTGTTTTTTGTCTTCCTGCATGCCCATTCTATTCCCTAGTGCTGTGGTGAAGCTTGCTGACATTAAAAGCAATGTCTGATGCTGTTTGCTATTCTCTTTCTTGCAAGAGAATAAGAGGCAGAGCTCTGGTCAAAACATGGCTCTTACATGCTGAAGGTATCAGCTTCCTGAAAGGGCTTGACAAATGCTAACATACTCTAAGAAATCATGGTTGGAGGGGCTTAGGAAAATCCTAGGTTTTATCAGGAATTACTTTGCCAGATTAAGCCCAGCCTGAAGGCATCGATTACCTTCTTTCTTTTTCTTAAAATTTTATTAAACAGAAGCGAAATAAAAATTTGGCCTGTCTCATCTGCCAAAACCCAAGTAGTTACGGGACTAGTATCCCAGAACCTCACAGGCAGGTGTGTGAATGGGCTAAAAATTGTTCATCAGCTTGTTTCAGCACCGGTTGTATTCTGGAGAAGGAAATGGCAACTCACTCCAGTATTTTTGCCTGGAGAATTCCATGGACAGACGAGCCTGGCAGGCTACAGTCTATGGGGTCGCAAGAGTCGGACACGACTAAGTGACTAAGCACACACACACAGTATTCTCAGGGCTTCTTTGGGAGCCAAGGTGGGTGTTTTTCAGTGGGTCAAATATTATATAGTCAGTGGTTATAAATTGTTATTTGAAAAACATTTTGGGGCAGCATTATCAAGTTTGCTGGTAAGGAGCGATGAAAAGTCTGAGTCTGACCTGATGCTGACATACTCCAGTCACAGTGTTCCAGCATACTCTCTTGCATACTCCTTGAATTTGCTCTATGCAAAAATCTCAACTGGATTTTGCAGTGTTTTTGTTTTTAAAATTGGGATTTATTGTTAATTATGTGCAATTCAGAAAATACTTGGTAATGGCAGGAGAAAAAAAATCCATGGTCCCATCACCCATGTTGAACCCTGGTGTTTCTATGTATAATCTCATAAAAATTTTTTTCTACATTGTAGGGGTTTTCTGTTTATATGTATTTTTTGTATTCTGATTTTTTTTTCAGAGTAATAACTCAAATATTTTTCCTGTATTACTGCATACTCTAAATACCAATTGTAATAGCAACATGCTGTTCCATTGTCTTGAGTTTACTTCTCCCCATTGAAAGTGTTTGTTTTGCAAAAGATTTTTCTAGGCTATTTATAAGACAGATTTCTTTGTCCCCCTAATGTATTTTATCTGTCTCTAAAATTTAAATGGCTGTTTCAAACCACTTAGTCAATCTTCGTAATTAAAATGTTCAAAGGAAATGTAAGTCCCTCCTGAAGTCATAGTTAATGACATCATTCTGGCATACACGTTTGCAAATTGGAAAGCTTTTGGCTGACATGTCAATGTTACTGGCACTGGTGCCCAGTGAAAAAGTTTATTGGCCCTTAGCAAAGCCTTTATCAAGAGAATTCTAGTTATGCTATTTTAAAGTTTTGGAACTCTGTGTCTTAAGACAGATTTACCCAGTAGATTGTCTCAAAGCTGTTGAGATTTGTCTTTGGACCGCTTTTGTCTTTCTTAACTAGCTGGGCTATCATGGTGTTTTTTGGGAAGAGTAGAGGCAGGAATATAATCTCTCTTCTGGCACAGACACAGTGGGTGACCTTTAAAAAGGCACTCCACTTTTCTGGACCTCAGTTTCCACATCACTTCAGTTTCCATATCGTCAAAGAGGAGATTGAATTAGAAAGATAAAGAAGGTTCTTCCCAGCTTGAATATTTTCAGATTTTTTTCCTAGGCAATTTGTTATAATCATATTATCCCTGCTTTCACATTTGTGTTTTTCTATAGTCAGCTGCTCAGTCACTGCAAGAGAGCTCTTCTAGCAAGCTCCCTGCCCCTAGATTTCCATTTGAACTTCAGTGAAGTATGTTGGAGACCAGTGCACTAACTCGTTGAGGACTTTCCAACGGTTGTTCTGGAAGCGGAAATCTAGCCCAGATCACTCCAGGGGACTAATCTCTGAATAATGTCCTCTGACACACACACATATTTTCTGATGTTTCTCTTGACCTTGGAACTGGTTAGAGACAGCACAGAATGCTCAATGAATTCTAACAGACTGCAACAAGGAAGTCCCTCCCACCCTTGGCTTTTCCAAGATGTAAGTTTCTTTAATTGTTAGAGGCAGTTTAAGGATATCACCTTGCCTTGCTGCTCTGCTATTTCTCTCTGCTGCTATTCAGTTTTTATAATGTTTGTGATCAAAGGGACCTTGGATGGATTTGAGATAATTGTCACAGTTCTGGAGGAGTACAGAATTATTTAGTGGGGTGAACCTCAGATTGGGAATTGGGAGAGCAGCTTCTGGTTTTGTGGTCTTGAACATGTCATTTGTATTTTGTGGGTCTCAGTTCTCCATCTTAGAAGTTTAAAACAGCATTTCTAGAAAGGACCTTTTCTCCAGCTGCATGAATGAGAATTTGCTCCTGGCTTGAAAATGACCAGAAAGCCCTCTGGGCCATCATGGTGACTGGCACATTGGGCACTTATTCATCCCTGTGTTGGCCAGCATGATTCAGTGTGACCCTGCTTGAGTTGTATATTCAATATTAATTGTTAGTATGTGTCACCAGAGGCCCCTGCAGTTTACCAAAAGCTAGCAGCCTGATAGGACAGGGCCAGCAGCTACTAGTCAGCCATAAGCAAGAGAGGCAAGGAAATTTAGTTGCGCTTGTAGAATCTCATTCTCACTGGTCTGGAGGTTGATGTCTACACTGTAGCCTCCTTGACTCTTAATTGCACATTAGCCATTTTCTCTCTCGTAATTTGTTACTACGATTATAGAAAACTAATATGTGAAGCAACTAGCAGGTAGGAGTTGGGAGGGGTTGTCAGTATCTTCCCACCTTCACTAAACAACTTTTTGTGCATCTCCTAAGCTGTACTGACCACAGGGTCTTAGTGTTTGTGTCTTCCTCACACACATACCAAGACACTCCTACTCCTACTCCCATTTCCCCCAGGAAAATGGGTAGGAATTGGCAGGCTTGAAAGCTCAGCCACTAGAGTTAGGGAACTTTTCTCTATGGTGGTGGTCCTTAGGCTGGCCTGGAGACCAGCAGATCAGAATCACTGGTATTAGAAATGCAAATTCTCCAGCCCCCTGAATTAGACACTATGGACATGGAACCCAGCACTGTGTTTTAATAATCCCTGCAGAGAGCTGTGAGGTACCCCCAGGGGTGAGGACCACTGTGTCAGGAGGTGGTGTCCTAGTGGACAACAGGACTCCCAACTCAGTGCTCCCTATGAATCAGGAAATCTGCAGCCATTCTCTCCTGTGACCCTCAGTATCCAGGCCAAACCTAGAGCCAATGTGGACAGCAGGAACATGCCTCCCCTCTGAGCTCCCTGGAGAGTCACATTTGTGCAGCATGTTCATGTTACCGGGGAGAGCTGCTGAGTTGAAGTGTTTATCTCCTTAGCCAAGGCTCCATTACCAGAATAAAGATGGAAGGAAGAATGCTTTTCCATATGTCCTTCCAACAAGTCATAAGACAGATGAGGAAAACTGAGGCTCCGAGTTTAAGTTACTATCCTAAAGTCACACTGCTGGTAAGTGGCAGAGTCAGAATTTGGACCCAGGTCTGTGCCCTCAGGTGCCCTTTGCACCACACCAGTTACATCCCACGAGAGGATGGATGGACATTTTCAGGAGCTCCTGGAGGACAGGGCCTAGCTCTTTTGGGACCCAAGTGACACTTGATCAAAGAGCCCCATGGGTAAAGAAGAGGTTGTTTCTGTCACCCACCATGGCCAGCAACTGAGGACTTTGGAGCAAGCCTGTGGGCTGGAGCCCTCACTGAACTCTTGATGCTTGTGGGAACCTCCTGCTGCGCTTCCCAGAGGCTGGGAGCAGGCGGGGTTCTCTCTCCTCAGTTTCACCCAGCAGGCGTCTCCTCAGACCAAGCCGGATGCTTGTGTTCCTGTTCGGGATGTGGCAGCTGCCGGTCAATTAAATCACAAGCCTCAGCAGGCCTGAATGATAGCCAGCGTGGTCTAAGTGCCAAGTGAGTGCAGCCAGAAAGTGCTTTGTCCTGGCCCACTCCTCATCCTTTATTTGAACCCCCCATTACCGTCCCAGATGGGACCCTCTTCTCCCAGCAGCCTCTCAGAGTTCGTCACACACCCCCAGGCTCATGTGGTAACCCAGTTCAGCAGACGGGCCTGGAGAGTTATAAATAGCTCAGGGGTAGGCCAGGAAGCCAATCGGTGCACCAGGACAGAACATGCATTCCCCGCTTTTGGAGCCATTTCCTGGGATCGTGTGCCGGGAGTGACTCCTGCAGATAAACTCCGATGCCTCTCCTCTGCAGGGTCTGCACTCTGCGCTTGAGTCTTGCTTCTTCCTGTGTTTGTTTGTCCCCCACCCCTACGGGCCGTGTCTTTGGAAGGCAGTGCTTCCAAGTCTGCTCCTGGGACATTTCCTGTTCTTGGAACAGCTGCACCAGCCTGGGGTACCCTCCTGCTACATGATCCTATAGGGAGGTATCCAGTGGTCATGGGCAGTTTTCAGATGACCTTGTTCCTCTGACGTCATTAGATGGCTATTTTTGGCTTTGCTGTTTGTGCTGTAGAGAAGTTGGGCTGGGTTGGGAGAGAGGAAGAAAGCATGAAAGAGGGGTCGGTCTCGGTTTCTCATTATCCCAGGGCCCTACCAAAGTAGGAGCATTTATTCTTCAGCATTCACAGAGCACCTACTGAATGTCAGGCCCCGCAGCTACCAAGTTGTGACATAATCTAAGTATTCTTCACTCGCCCACAAATTCATTGTTCAGCAGGCAGTTACTTGGTGGTGTGGAACAGTGATGATGAGTGAGGGCTCTGAGCCTGATGGCTTGGGTTTGAATTCTAGTCCCAGTGGAATCCCACATCTGAAAACCTGGGCAAGTTACTCCTCCTCTGTGACTCAGTTTCCTCTTGGAAACAGGACTGATAATAGTATCTACCTCATAACGTTACCATGAAGATTAGAGGAGTTCATATCTGCGTCTGGCCCAGGGTAAATGCGCAATAAATATTAGGGGCTATTATTATCAACAACAGAAGCACCACTCTTGGTACTGAGTCCTTGGGATGTAAGGTTGACGGACACGGTCCTGATCTGTTCTGAGCTGGCACCTGATCCCTAGAGCCCCAGGTACTGGGGCAGTGCACGCAGTCAGTACAAGTCAGAAGGGGACACCTGCCATGTGCGCTGCCAGACCCTAGCTTGTGGGAGCATTCCAGGGAGACAGGTGAAGTTCTTGCCCTGGGAGAGCCTCAGAGCAGTGGTTTTTAACTCTGACAGCACATCGGAATCTTCTAGGCAGGTTTGAAAAATAACACTCTGAGCCCCACCTCCAAATGTGCTGCTTCAATGGCTTGAGCTCAAGAGGGGCTCAGACTTTAGAAGTCATGAAAGTTCTCCAGACTTTCCCATGCGCATCAGGGTTGAGAACACAGCCCAGGCTAGAAGGTTGTGTGTCCTGGGAGTACCCTGCCGACTACCTCAGGACTGCCTCAAAGTTGGCCCTCTGACCAAATTTCAGGAGTGCATGAACCCCCCTGAAATGCTGGTTATAAAGACAGATTCCTGGGGCCCCATTTGAAGAAGGCTTCATTTTAAACAAACTCTGGGGCCTAGGCACTGAGAAAGCCTGCCACAGCCATACCTTCAGCTGAGAAGTCACTTGTGGTCATCAGTACCAAAAACTACCTCTGAGACCCCACGGTGTTTCATATCTCATGTGTAGCTCTAACCACTTTCTGTCTTGAATTGTAGAAATCTGCATCTATATTGATATCTTGAATTTATCACCTAAGAGTTACAAATAGTCATTTCAAAAATGTCTCAAAATCCAGACAAAGCATAAAAATAATCTCTCCTCCCACACCTGAATGTATATCTGTATATATGCATACATATCCCCCCAAATATTTTCTCTACAAATATTTTTAGCAACAAAAAGAACCCACTTCATGAAGAATTTTACAGTCTTTTTTTTTCCCCAAAGAATGCACTATATGGTGATTCTAGAGCTTTTCCTCACCTTCATCTCTGTGTCCCCAAAGTGATCAATTTAGTTCTTGCCAGAGTAGAGCTTCCCTAGTAGCTCAAATGGTAAAGAATCTGCCTACGATGCAGGAGACCTGGATTCCATTCTTGGGTCAGGAAGACCCCCTGGAGGAGGGCATGACAACCCACTGCAGTATTCTTGCCCTGGAGTATCCTACGGACAGAGGAGTCTGTGGGGCTAAGGTCCATGGGGTCTCAAAGAGTCTAACAGAACTGAGTGACTAACACTTTCAGAGTAGAGCACTTAGTAATAATCTTGGCAATAAAACTCAACAGTTCTGGGTCGAACAGTGAGTGTCATTTAAACTTCCAGAGAAATCTACATCTAGCTGGTCACACAGAATGTCCATAGATCTCTGCTTACCCTCCTGGGAGGAAAGGACTGGGTCTGCAGTAAGGACAGCAGCCTTACCAGGACTGTCCCGGGGCTGAGAGGTACTGCCAAAGCCCCAGGCTCAGGGACCCTAGATGGGAGAGGGCAGAAGAAAACAGCCCTTAGTTGCTCCCATATCAGGACTGGAGGGAAAGTTGTGAGGAGAGTTGGCTGCTCTCTTTGGAGTCAGTAAGGTCGTTGCTCAACTCCCTGGATTTTCCATCACAGCCGAGCAGGCAGAGGGTCAGGCCGGGAAATGTCTCCTCTGAGCCGGTCCTTTTAAAGCCTCTTGGCTAAATCTGTTTCCTCCAGGAGCCAGGGAAGCAGTGCCCGAGTGGAGTTAACTCCTCCATGCCCAAGGAATTCTCCCAGGGATGGTTGAGCCTGGGAGCCCAGGCTTCTGGAATGCAGAGCCTTCCAGGGCAAGAGGCCTAAGGAGCCGTGAACTCTGGCTGGAGAAACCTTCTCTCTGGCCTTGTTAAATCCAACAGTCATAATTGCATCCTCCTGACCTTAATTTCCCTGGCGGGTTTAATTGGCCCTGGCATTACCCCACTTCCTGTCCTGACTCTGTAGAGGCGGGGGTGGGGGGGGGCGTGGCTGCACAGCTGGTGCAGGGTGGGAAAGCCCCTTCCTAAGGGTGGGCAGGGGCTCTGGCAGCCCCCAGGCGGGTGGAGGAGGTTTCCCCATGCCCCACCCCTGTGCCTCCCAGGGAGCAGCTGGCCAAGCTGAGCTCAGCCCCGGCAGGCAGACAGGCGAGCAAGCTGCAGGCAACCCTATGGATCCAGAAGCAGGCCAGGCTCTCGTCTCACTCAGGAGCGAGTGCGGAGAACCCTGCAGGGACAGATGAGCCTCCACCTGGGGTGTCCATGTGATGGAGACCCCACAGTGCGGCAGGCACTGGGCCAAACACTCTAACTCCACGTGCTCGCTAAATGCTCCCAGCCGTCCCTGGGAGAGAAGCAATGGGACAGAGTAGTTATGAGCTGGGCATTGTGTTAGGTGGTTCAAACCCAACTCTGTGACTTTGCCCTGTGACTCAGTTTTCCTGTCACATCTGTGAAATGGGGATGAAACAGCTGATGTTTATATAGCACTTAAGTACCCATGAGCTGTTCTAATGCTTTATGTACATACTTCCCTGTGATGAAGGGGCTCGTCCTATAAATGAAAGACAAGAGAAGGCCTTTGCCCAAGATTTATGGTCATTAATCTGAGAGCATCACTGCCCAAGCTCCTCAGACACTGCTCAGCAGGACTGTGGTAAGGATAGAATGAGGACGGGGCCTGGCCCACTTGGTAAGAATTATTATTTGGGAATCACAACAGTAACAAATGTAGCAATGAAAGCCCCTTATGTTGTCCCAGCCTGGATTTGGGTCCCAAAAGGTGGCTGTGGATGTGAATCTGGGTGATTCGAAGTTATTCAATAGCTGTGACTCTAGGGACAAACCTCTTACCCTCTCTCAGCATCAGTTTCCGCATCGTTAAGAGAGTCTAGCACTTGGCCCCTAGAGCCCCTTGTGAAGATCCAACAAACTGAGCAAAGCCCCTGGCAGAGCCCTTAGTGGCCCTTCATGGGCACTCACTCAATAAATGATCAGTACTGATAACCACAGTCTTAATGAGAAGACATCAGCAAGGGCCATCATGATGGAGTAATCCCACGAACATGGTCCAGAGCCTTGGACTCAGTTACTCAACAGGCACTGATTGGCAAGTGCATTTTGTGCCAGGGACACATGTGAGCATCATACAGCCCCTGCCCTCAGGCTCTCAGACAGTCATTGGTGGGATCAGCCTGGAACTGAAGGAACCAGAGGAGGGAGTCCAACATTTCAAGCTAAACCAGAACATGCTGTGGGGACAACCAAATAGAGGTCCAGGGGTCCATATTGTAGGCACAGACAAGAAGATTTCAACCTTCAGAATGTTAGGAGGCCCATAAAACCAGTACCCAGCAGGGAGCCAGGGTGAGACACAGTCCGGGAAATTTTAGGCAAGAAAGAGAACTCTGAGCCATAAAGCAACACATTTCTGGCCCAGCTCCCTTCCTTGCAGAGTGACTCGTGGCAAGTTACTCTTTTGATTCTGCCGTCTTCACCTAGAAGACAGGTTGAGATACTTCACAGAATTATTATCGAGGTGATGTTTTAAGACAGTATGGATAAAGATACTAGGCACTCAAAAAATGGGAGCTCCTGTCTTTTCAGGGAGCCTGGGTTCAGATCCGAGCTCAGCCCCTTTCAAGCCCGATGGCTCTGGCTCAGCCGCTTGACTTCTCTGTGCTTCAGTTTCGCCATCTGTAATGGCACCTACCTCACTGGGTTGTTCTGAAGATCACGTGAGTGAGCCTACACAGGAGCCCTTGAAACAAGGGCCAACACACGTGGTGAGTACTGTATAGGTGCTAGTATTTTTGCTTCCTAGAAGAGGCAGGCTGTCAGCTAGGAAGGAGAGAAATGGAAGAGGGGAGGCCAGGTCAGAAGAGGAGGACAGGCTAAATAAAAGGCAGCAAGTTGGGGAAGAGGCTCCAACTTTGGTGTTTGCTAACCTTGGACTGACAATCCCAACTTTTTCTCACCTAAGAAAACGTCATTCATTTTGAACAGTAATCTGTTCACATAATTTTAGGTTCATATAAAAAAGTAGAAGAATATGCAGTGACATCTTTCTCCCACCTCTGGCTCCCAGTTTCTTAGCCTGTCAAAGAAAACTTCATGCCTGTAAAGGGAAATTGTATATATTAGATATGTTATGTTCACTATTATAAATTGTACCCCCTTTTGTGCAAATGATAGCACCCTCTACATGCTATTCTGCACGTTGCTTTTTGTCCCCCCATTTTGTAGGTTGCTTCTTGTCAATTCATTCACAGCTTCTTCCATCTTTTTTACAGCTACACAACTTCCTATTGTTCAGATGTGCTGTATTCTCAAGCCATTTCCCCCCTTCCCTGTCTCAATGGAGGGCAAGAGTTGCTTCCTCTATTTGATCATTGGAGGAGCTGGGCCCTGGAGTAGGGTTGGAGTGACTGGATGGGTCACCATAGTCAGGACCTGAACCAAGTCCTGAATCCACTCCAGAACTATTTCCAACACACTCAGCTTGGGGCTAGTTCTCAAGGTGGCCTGCAGAGAAGCTTTGGGCATGCCTGGGTGATGGAAGGCCCTTTGGATCATACCTCTCCCCATCCCATATCTGCTTGAACACCTTGGGCTGGAGTGGCCCCTGGGCCACCACTGTGGTGGAGGATCCTTGGAAAAGACTCTCCACCAGCCAGACCCCCCACTTTCTAGTGGGCCATTGGAAAGGCCTGCATTAGCTCAGGGGAGCAAAAACACTGACCATCTCTCACAGCTACTTGGGACAGCATCCATCTCCCCAGGAGCCCAGGAAAGAGACATTTTCAAAAGAAATGACTTTCAGGCCCATAGGCAAGTTGACCAAGTGCACCCAAGACCTTTTCTTACTCAAAGATGCTCCACGCTGGTCTGGAAGCCAGGCGCAGGGCTTGTGGATACAGAGCTGGGCGCTGGGATCAGGGTGACTATCCCTGGGCCTGTGTGGTTCCAACCAGGCTCCGGGGAATCCCAGGAGATGTTGGCAGAGCTGGAGCCTGGCCTGAACATAGTCTTGCCCTTCAGCCCTGTCTGAGAGCTCCCTCATCTATCTTGTCCCAAGTCAGAGATACCAGGCAAGGTCTGGGAGAAGGCTGCTCCCCCAGGGCCCCAGGTGCCCCCTCCTGCTTTCTCTTCCTGCCTGTTCCAACACCACTCTCCCCCCGGTCGGTCCACGGGAAGAATGCCATGTCCTCTGAATGGGGGCCAAGAGTGACAGGTGGTGGCAGTCCGAGTTGCATGGCCCCTGGTGTAAGAGATCCTCTCCCCCGTCCCCGCCTCCTCTGCCTGCACCCCTGCCTCCGCCTCTGCCCACCGGGCCCCGGCCCTTACAACTGCCCAGGACGGCTCCCGGGCAGCCGCTGCGAGACGGACGGACACCAGGTCGCCCCTCTCTGCTCCAGGTGCCTCTCTCCCCTCCACCGGCTGGCCCCTGCCTCCTCTCAGCCAGACAGGAGGAGGCATCCAGCAGCCCGACACACCTTTCTCTTCTTTCTGCAGCTGGAAAGACTCGAGTTAGACAAGCAGAAGCACACGCCTCCCTACCTCATGGCGACGGAAAACGGAGCAGCGGAGCTGGAAATCCCGAGCTCATCAACAGGTGCCATGCGGGGGCCAGAGGTGGAGGGAGGAGCTTGGGAAGGGGTGTTTGAATCCAGAGTTGGGCCAGTGCTCTGGATTCAAAGTGGGAGTTCTATGCCCAAGGCTTCTTTGTGTGGCACATGGAGGACCCAAAAATCAGAATTATCTCTGGATAGGGTGGGACTGTGTCAAGGGCCCACAGGAAGCCTTCCCCAGAGACTGGGAAAATGTGAAGTCCCCATGGATGAGGCTTGAACACTCACAGCAAGGGTTGGGAGTGGGCTCAAGGCCCACCAGAGGCCCAGAGCCTTGCACCCAGGGCCTCCGAGGCCCAGACAGCTCATATTGGGAGCCCGTGGAATGGCCCCAGAAGTTCAGCGGACAAGTGCTTGTAAACTGTGGCCTGGGTGGGGACCTGGGCCCAGAAGCGGTCCCTGGCCAGCCTGGCTGGGGAAGGAGGGGTAGGAGGGTGGATCCTGACGTGTTTCACCTCCTTTCCAGATGCAGCACCAAAGGGTGCAGCAGGCGAAGGACCCCCAGCTGCAGAGAAAGACCCTGGGCCCCCAGATCCACAGAAGGATCCTGGGCCCCCAGATCCAGAGAAGGATGCTGGTCCCCCAAACCCAGAGAAAGAACTTGGGCCCCCAGAACCAAAGAAAGAACCTGATTCCCTCCACTCAACGAAAGATACTGAAGCCCCGACCCCAGAGAAAGGGGATGGGGTCTCGGCCCAACCCTCAACCAGCAGCCAGGGCCCTGAGGGAGAAGGAAGCCTGCAGGGAGAGCCTGCGGAGGGCTCTGCTGGGCAGCCGGCAGCCCTGCCCGAGGAGACAGCGACAGCCGAGGCCAGCGTCAAGAAGCCCGAGGCTGAGCAGGGGGCCCCGGGCAGCCAGGACCCCGGAGAAGCCACGGCGCACAAGAAGGTAGCAGAGGGCCAAGCAGTGAGCAAGAAGGGCACGCCCGCCTTTCTGCACAGCCCCAGCTGCCCCGCCGCCATGTCGAGGTGAACGGCCCCTGCCTGGGAGCGGGGAGGGGTCTGCAATTACTATCTGTCTCGGCCACCGTCACCGCGTTCAGTGCTGGCTTGGGTAGTTCCGATGTTCAGCTCCCTCTGTCCTAGGCATTGGCCTGACCGCCTGGTCTTCCTGCAGAGATCAGAAATGTGTGATAGTTCACAGAAGCCTGGAGTGTCGGCAGCAGAGGACCTCAAAGACCCCTTCTCCAGGCGTCTGGAGTGCAGAGTCCCCCTTACCCCATGGACTTGAGTCTCACCAAGGGCAGGACTGAGATGTCAGGAGGAAAAGATAACTCATCTTCTTAATACAGTTATTAGTATAATATGGAAATATGACTAATAATCAGGATGATAGATCATTACTAATACTCCTGAACTGAAAAGTGAAGTGAAAGTGAAAGTCACTCAGTTGTGTCTGACTCTGCAGCCCCATGGACTATACAACCCATGGAATTCTCCCGGCCAGAACACTGGAGTGGGTAGCCTTTCCCTTCTCCATGGGATCTTTCCAACCCAGGGATTGAACCCTGATCTCCTGCATTGCAGACAGATTCTTTACCAGCTGAGCCACAAGGATACTGGAATGGGTAGCCTTTCCCTTCTTCATGGGATCTTCCCAGGAATCAACCCGGGGTCTCCTGCATTGCAGGCGAAGTCTTTACCAACGGAACTATCAGGGAAGCCCACTATTCTCTTAGAGCTATAATACAGCACCAGTCTCAAGGTGCAATCCATTAGCTTTACCTGAATGCCAATGATATAAGTGAGGTTATTAATGATATATTTATTGTAAATCACAATAATAACACTTACCATATCAGTTTGAACCATGTGGTAATATAAATTAGTATCATTAATACGTCATCAATTGTATCACCACAATTTATGAATCAAGAGCTACATAACCTCCCTAATTGTCGCACCTAATGATTAACCAGGGCTTCCCTGGTGGCTCAGCCAGTAAAGCGTCTGCCTGAAATGTGGGAGACCCGGGCTCAATCCCTGGGTCAGGAAGATCCCCTGGAGGAGGAAATGGCAACCCACTCCAGTACTCTTGCCTGGAAAATTTCCATGGACTGAGGAGCCTGGTAGGCTACAGACCATGGGGTCGCAAAGAGTTGGACACGACTGAGCGACTTCACTTTCTAATGATTAACCAAATCAGCAATCCTATTAACAGTTGTTAATGATCTCTTAGTGCGTTGATACTCAAGATAGCAACACAGACATGGGACTTCTTCGGTGGTCCAGTGGTTAGGGGTCTGCACTTCCACTGCAGGGGCATGGGTTGGTCGCTGGTTGGGGAACTAAATCCTGTGAGTCGCATGGTATAGCTGGGAAGAAAAAACCACCACCACCACAGACATTTATGGTATTATTAACACCCCCAGATTTTATATGAAGTGAATTTGGATTCACCACCCCACGTGTTTGGGGTGGGGGCAAGGCTGTATCAGCTCTAGATTGCAGATGAGGTTCTGGGAGGCCTGCGGGGTCGGGGGGGTTGCTGTGGCTGCTAAGGGTGTCATCCTGCTGTGTTCTCACGTTTCAGCCTTGAGAAGCCCCTGGCCGCGAAGCCCCTAGATGAGACATTAGAGCTCATCTTTGAAGGGGTGCCTGTGACCCCTGGCCCCACGGAAACTGAGACCGCCAAGGTAGCAGAAGGAGAGAAGAACCTCCCGGGAGGCAGCCAGAAGGAAGGAGAAGAGAAGGCTGCAGGCCAGGCTGGCCAGGCTGGGGTGCAAGGGGACACCTTGAAGGGGATCAAATTCCAGGCTGTTCCCTCGGAGAGATCGGAGGTGGGGCAGGCCCTCAGTCCCACAGCCAGGGAGGAGGACTGCTTCCAGATTTTGGGTAGGCAGGGGCTGCCCTGGAGCCCAGGGAGGAGGGCAGGGGCTCCCCATGTCTCCCCCGTCTCCTCCTTGCTTAGAGCACTAAACCCTTCTGAGCCACCTCACCCAGGGTGATTCATCAAAGTGTTCCAACCCTAGGAAGTCCGAGTTCCTAGTCCCCTTCAAGAGACGGGGAAATGGGGGCTCAGAAAAGTGAGCACCCCAAACCCACAGCTAGAACAGGATATGAACCTGACTCCAGAGTTCTCTTGTTTACTTTCTTCTACATTGGCTAAAATGGAGTTTAAAAAAAAAATCAGAAATGTTGGAGCACCACCAGTTCTCTGGACAGTGGGGTTTGAAGTTACTCTGTAAAAGGGCTCAAATGCCAGGCTTTAAACTGCATCCTGGATGGGTAGGGAGGGTCACGGGAGCCACAGAGGGTCGTGAACTGAGGAGCACAGGTGTGTGCATGGAGGGGGGAGGGAGGCAGTGACCAAGGAAGCTGGGCACATGAGATGGGCAGGACCGGAGTGGCCTCAAGTGCTGACAGTTTAGTCCGTGAGCAGCAGGGAGCCATTGAGCATGAGCAAACTTGGCCAGTAGGTGAATAGGGAAAGAGCCCGGGCAAGGGTGCAGCGGGCCTGGGCGGGGGGGGGGTGGGGGGGGTGTGGCGGGGGGGGGCAGGGGGTGAGGTGGGGTCAGGAGAGCCCAGCGTGTCCTGACAACCCCCCTCCTCCAGGCCGAGGTGCCCTGGGAGGCCTGCCAGTCTGCCTGGTGAGCGGCGCAGTGCCACCCAGACAGGGTGGGAGGGCCTGGCGGCTGGGCGGCAGCCAGGAGCCCTACCTCCTCCCCCGAGCAGCGGCACAGACCTCCAGGGCCCACTCGGCCCGGCAATCCTCGAGGGACGGACCTGAAAGACCTCCAAGGGCCGTCTGATTTATCACCAGCCGGCTTCCCTGAGGCCTCTTGCTATTTATAAAGAGGTTTCCATTCCCGGTGACTCAGCCTGTCGGCGTCCAGGGCCTGCTGTTCCCCGTATTGTCACTAGGTGGCAGCAGGTCCCTACCAAACAGCTCTATCCCCGTCTCCTCCCCGCCCACCTCTGCCCGTGGGCTAGGGCCGGGGATACCCATTCCGCAGGTGGTGAGAGCTCGTGGTGTTATTAGACGGGGTGGTAGGCAGGTCCCATCCTCGACTCCTTCAGACACAGTAACGCCTATCTGGCATGGTGCTCCACCATTATAGTTGAAAGTGAAAGTTAGTAGAAAGAAAGTAGCTGAGTCCTGCCCAACCCTTTTCAGCCCCGTGGACCGTAGCCCATCAGGCTCCTCTGTCCATGGGATTCTCCAGGCCAGAATACTGGAGTGCGTTGCCATTCCCTTCTCCAAGGGATCTTTCCGACCCAGGGATTGAACCCTGGTCTCCTGCATTGCAGACAGATTCTTTGATCCACCAGGGAGCTCACAGTTGCGCACTGTACTGCCCACCCCCCCTGCCCTTTTTTCCATTTTTTGGAAATGCAAAAACTTTGGGATGGAGTCTTCATACCTTATAGTGTGGGGGGGTCTGAGGAGTCCAATCAGCTGTCCCCACTGTTGTACCAGGAGGAGCTGAGCCTCCCTCTGACAGAGGCAGAGGCCTCCCAAGGAGGGTGTGTTGGTGGCAGAGCTGACATTGAAAACTGGGCCCCTAGCCCCTATTCTGGAGCCAACTGTCCCCCAGGTATCACTTGGTGAACGCCCCTGGATGGGGCCCAGGCCAGGCAGGAGGGCATGGTGCAGGGTGAGTCCTTAGCAGCCCAAGCACTTACCAAAATGGCTCTGCTCTGCTCCACAGATGACTGCCCGCCGCCCCCAGCCCCCTTCCCCCATCGCATTGTGGAGCTGAGGCCCGGGAACATCAACAGTCAATTCAGCCTGAACTCCAAGGAGGCACTGGGCGGGTGAGAGCTGGGGCCCTGAGCCCCGGGCCCAAGGGCGGGAGAGCATGGAGCCCCTGGGCCTTACATCTGCCCCATGGGAGGCCCAGACACTCGGATCAGACGTGAGCCGTACGGTCACGGTTGCTTCCATGTGGTCTCACTTGTCTGTGTGCAGGCTGTCACATGGCTGATGTGTCAGTCACTCACACAAACACACCATTGGTCCTTAGGTGTTTCCCATAGGAAGCACGTGATACTGTCCTTTCTGTCTCAGTTTGGGGTACCACACTGACCCCTTCAAGGTGATCCTCTGTTTTGTTAGAAGTCCTGAAGCTGCCTCCCCCGGGGCCCGGTGCCCTTGCCTGCCTGTGAGATGCCCGTCAGGGGCTGTCCTTTGATGAGCCTACCCTTCCTGAGCCGTGGCTTGTGCAGTTCAGCCGTGGTCTCTCCGGTAGTGCTCACATGTTGGGAGGCTACTGGAGCTGGCTGGGGTTCCCCCCTCTCACAGGGAGCAGAGCACAGGCCCCCCCTCCCACTTGGCCTTTGGAACTCGCTTACTCTCAGCCTCTTCTCTCTCCAGCGGCAAGTTTGGAGCGGTCTGTACCTGCACAGAGAAGGCCACAGGCCTCAAGCTGGCAGCCAAGGTCATCAAGAAACAGACACCCAAAGACAAGGTAGTGCCGGCTGGCTGTGGGGAGGAGGAGGGAGAGGGGATGCTTGGAGCGGGTGCGTCTCACCTCCCTCCACCCACACATCTGCACCAGGGGCCAGGGGTACAAAGCTTGATGCTCCAAAGACATCACACAGATCAACAGATAGACAGGTGGACAGTCCTGCCACAGGGGCCTGATGCCACTGACCATAAACTTGACCCCACAGTTGGTGAATTTATCTTGGGGACTTCCTCTTCAAGCCCTCTGGTTCCAGTCAGTAAGTGCTGATGAGCACAGGCTCTGGGCCAGATGCTATACTGTGCACTGGAGGTCCCCGAGGGAAGCCAGGGGGTCCCTGCCTCCGGAGAACAGCAAGGGAAACAGGCCTCAACACCAGCCTGGTTCAGAGTAGTGTTAGTTCAAGGAGTGAATGAATGAATGAGGCATAGACTCATGTGGAGTGAGGGAGTCAGCTGTGTGAGGAGGTGATGGCAGCCTAGCAGCCTGGCGCGGTGAGAGCTATATAACTCAGGAAAGCTAGGACGGGAGGGTGGGGAGAGCGGTTGTCACGGTGGAGTCTCCTGACTCACCCACAGGTCAGCAAAGAGTCTCCTGAACGAAGGCTTTGAAGAAGGAGGAGCTGTTTTCCAGTGGGAAAGGCAGGGGAGAGATGTTCAGACAGAGGGGACTGTGGATAGAAAGGCCTGAGGATCAGAAATGGCAGGTGGGAACCCTGGAGTCGAGGTCAAGGCCATGGGAGCAGAGACAGCACGTGCAGAGGCCTGGAGCTCAGAAGGAGCAGGAGAAGCAGCTCCAGAGGAGTGCTGGGAAATTGGAAAGATTTTCTGCGTGACTCTCTCTCTGTTGCTTCCACTTAATGGGGCTTGGGTCCCAGGCCTCTATCATGGACCTGGCTCAGCGGAGATGCTCAAATGTGATATGTAAATTAATTGGAGTCAGCTATTGATTGATTAATTATTGGGTACTTTTTCTGTGCTGTGCACTGTACCAGGTGCTAGGGAAATGGCATCGAACAAGTCCTAACATGCTAGAGAGGAGGAACAGACAACTAAAACCAAACCAAAACATAACAAGTGTGGTGTCCGGAGCCGAGACAGTGTTAAGAAAAGTAAAGCCAGGAAGGAACAGGGTGTGTGGAGCCACTCAGATAGGATCAGGTGGCAATAGGCTTCTCTGAGGAAGTGGTGTGGAAGGTGAGATATTCCAAGGAATGGAATAATGGAAAATGGAACAGCCCAGGCAGTGATCCAGTGCTCTGGGGGAACAGGTCTAGGGAGAGACCTGATCTGTAGCATTTGCCAATTTCCTTGGTGTAAATATTCCTACCGTGGTTGATTTCAAGCTACCAATATGACCTCTGGCTGGCAGACTTTCTGAAAGTGACAAATAATGGCAGCCAAAACTAGGAAGGCAGTGATGGGGGAGCTGAGAAATGATTGTATTTGTAATCTACTTTGGAGGTGGAGTCAAAGGATTTACTGATGGGCTGGATGAGGGGGTGTGAGGAAGCAAGAATAAGAGAGGAACCCTGGAAAACTCCTAACTTTCTGTCCTGCACACCGGGCTTAAAAATGACGGCCTTTTGCTGATGGACATGCTGCAGGCAACTCAACTGTGAGGAAAGGGTGGTATCAAGGGTTTAATTTTGGACATGAGTGATTTGAGATGTCTATTAGGCATCCAAGGGGGAGGGACTGGCGTCTGGAGTTCAAAGGAGCGCTTGGGGGTGGAGATATGTATTTGGGAATCGGTCACATCTGGATGGAATTTCCAGTCATGGGGCTTGAGAATGCCCTGGGAGAGAGTGTAAAGCAGGGAGGGCTGAGCGGGAAGGATGGGGCCCAGGATTCAGCCAGCGGGAGGAGAAGAACCAGCAAAGCAAAGGAAAGATGTCCCAGCAGAAATGACTGTGTGGTAAGGACACAGGATGGAGGGTCGGGAGAGAGATGGGAGGTGGGGAGACCAGCGAGGAGGAGGAGGGCAGCGGTCCAGGCGAGGCCCACCCTGAAGAGGGTGGAGGGCAGGGAGGCATGATGCTCAGATGGTACCCCTGATGCTCCTGGTCCCCAGGAAATGGTGTTGCTGGAAATTGAGGTTATGAACCAGCTGAACCACCGCAACCTGATCCAGCTCTACGCGGCCATTGAGACCCCACACGAGATCGTCCTCTTCATGGAGTAGTGAGTGTCGGCGGTGGGGTGGGGGCCTGGGGTGGGGGGCGGAGGGCCCAGAGGCAAGCCTGTAGAGGGGTCTATACACACAGCATCGAGGGCGGCGAGCTCTTCGAGAGGATTGTGGACGAGGACTACCAGCTGACTGAGGTGGACACCATGGTGTTTGTCAGGCAGATTTGTGATGGCATCCTCTTCATGCACAAGATGAGGGTTCTGCATCTGGACCTCAAGGTACTGGGGTGGGCGGCCTCCTGGGAGGGGTCGGGGTGGCATCGGGCCACCTATCGCTGCTGCAGCCAACCATTCCTCCTCCTCCATCCAGTCCTTCCAGCTGTAAGGGTCAAAACAGGGGACACATCAGAGAGCAAGAACGGCTTGGTCCCAGCCCTCTCCTAGTCTGGAGTTGTTGTAGTACTCGTTGAAAGGGTCTCCTGCAGTCCTGTGAGCCCCACATATAACACTAGCTAAGCAGTGTTGCAGGAGCGCCTGCCTCTGTGTAGGCCTGACAGGCACTGCTGATGTTTGCTCACTTATTTCACAAATATGTGTTGAGGGCCCACTAGATGCCAGGCAGTGTTCCAGGTGGTGGAGACCCAGTGGTGAACAAAATAGATAAAAACGTCTGTCCTCATGGAGCTTATGTTCTAGAAGGGGAATCAGGAAGACACATCAGTAAGTATAGTGTTGGGCTTCCCTGGTGGCGCAGCCGTAAAGAATCTGCCTGCCAAGCAGGAGACTCGGGTTCAATCCCTGGGTTGGGAAGATCCCCTGGAGAAGGGAATGGCAACCCACTCCAGTATTCTTGCCTGGAGAATCCCATTGTCAGAGGAGCCTGGCAGATTACAGGCCATGGGGTCGCCAAAGAGTGGGACCCGACTTAGCGAATAAAACAAGAACAAAGTGCAGTGTCAGTGCAGCAGGATACAATTGGCAGGCACAAACAAAGATGTGTGCTGAGAGAACATTATGCTCTTCTTGCTTGATACCTTGCACATAGCAGGTGGGCAAAAGTTCGTTTGGGTTTTTCCGTAAGATTTTATGAATCCCTCCAAGTCTGATCAGCTGTCAGTGGCCGTGGTGCGGAGTGGGAAGGAGCCCCGTGAGTGCCAGGTAGCCCTATCCTTATGGCAGGCGTTAATGTTTATGGAATCAATGGAAAGGCTAGTGGAGAAGATGAAATCTGAACACGGAGGCGGGTGAACGTCCGTCGGCAAAGTGGACAGTACTTTCATTCATTCATTTGGTAAATACATACTGAGCACCTGCTTCCGTGCCTCTGTGCGCTGTGCACAGTGCTGGGTATGGTTGTTACCCTCCGGGTGGTGAGGACATGACCCCATCCCCTGGAGCCCATGGGGTCAGTGGTGGGATCAGACGTGGTAACTCGATGAATAGATCATTTTATTTTTTGTTAAAATTTTTTTAAATTTTTATTTTTGACTGTGTCACTCAACCTGTGGGATCTTGGATCCCCCACCAGGGGTCACACTCATGTCCCTGCAGTGGAAGCGCCAAGTTTTAACCACAGGTCTGCCAGGGAAGTCCCTTAGATCAATTTAAACCACTAAAAGCATTTTGAAAAAGTGCGTGAGTGTAATGGGGAGACATACAAGGTGGAACTGAAGAGGAAGGTAAAGGCCAGAGCATTCAAGGTTGATACAGGAGATGCTACTGGTGCTGTTGTGGACTAACCCCTCCTCTGTGCTTACTAGGGGTCAGAGCCACTCAGGGTGTGTTTAGAGTATGTGACAGCCCTTTGGGTCAGGTGTGCTGTTATCTTTCCCACTGACAAGTAAGGGAGCGAGGAGGGTAAGGGAATGGGTTTCAGTGGGGCTATTCTGACAGCAGGGCATTTAGGAGGTGGGCATAATAAGCCAGGAGAGATGATGGGGCTGGAACCCACAGCAGTGGGGGAGGAATGGGAAGTGGTCAGATGATGGACACATTCTGAAAATAGTCAGCCGGATTTCTGATGGTTTGGATGTGGGAGGGCAGAGGGAATGGAAAGACTGCAGGTGCCTCCTGAGTTTTTCGGCAGAACTCAAACCTGCATGATGGCATTGGAGGCTGCCCTTTTCCGGTAAAAGCCATTTTCCTTGGGGTAGAGCAGGGTCCCTGATTAAAATGCAGTGTCCTGGGAAGAAGTTCAACTTAAATCTCTGTGTCCCACATGTGATCTTTTTCAGGATAGCAATAAATTTTTCATCAGTAAATGGTGTCATGATTGAGTGAGCTGGGTGAACTGCAGCCTGAAGCCCCTTCCCAGGGTGCCAGCTGCAGGGCTTTTCAGGAAGTCCCCTGTCCTCGTCCTCCAAAAGAAGATCTGGATCTGTCTGCTTTCCCCTGCCAATTGTGTCCTTGGAGCCTTTTTTTAAATAATATTTTTTCTCTTTTTAAAAATTTGTTTTTGGCTCTGCTGGGTCTTCATTGCTGTGTTTGGGCTTTCTCTATTTGCAGTGATCGGGGGTCACTGTCCAGTTACGGAGCGAGGGCTTCTCATTGCGGTGGCTTCTCTTGCTGTGGAGCACAGGCTCTATGTGCATGGGTGTTAGTAGTTACAGCTCATGGGCTCCAGAACATGGGCTCATTAATTGAGACACATGGGCTCAGTTGCTCTGAGGCACGTGGGATCTTCCAGGACTAGAGGTTGAACCAGCGTCCCTTGCATTGCAAAGATCACTGGACCACTGGACCACTGGACCACCAGGGAAGCCCTCCTTGGGGCCTTTCCATCCTTCCCGTGTTTCAGTGGAGCCCTGTTGGGCTGTTGAAGTCACTAGCATCCTGCTCTGAGTGCAGCAGTATGAAAGGACCTTCAGAAAGCCTCCTGTTTGGGGCCTCAGATCAGATACCACAAAGCCCAGATGAAGAACAGAACCCTGTTCTTCAGAACCCAGCTGGGTCAGGAGGTGGAGGCCCTGGGGGAACTGGAGGACTCCTGCCCATCTCAGCGGTCAGCACCAAGTCCCTCCAAGCCGTGTGTGGCCATATGGCCAGGGCTTCCAGTGTTTCAGGAGGTGCTGAAAATCAGGCTTCTTGTGCAAAACCTGCCTTTTAGGTTAGCAACTTACGTTTCTGCCCCACAACCTCAAATGAGTCCTGTGTCCTTGTGTTCCATGAGGAGGAGATGGAGGCCCAGCACGGGAGGGGTTAGCCCTTCAGTGACCTCACATGCTCACCCGTGCTTGGGGTGCCAGATTCCAGGAGTCTTGACTGAGCACCTACTGGGCGCTTTGTTAGACGCTGAGGGTGGGGAGCAGGGACGCCTGGAGAAGAGCCCCTCTCGGGCCTCCAGATCCCCCTCTGTGTCTGGAACAGGCAGATCCGAGGGTCTCTGATGAGGGGATGTCCACTCTGGCAGCCTGGGCCTCTGGTCCAGGGAGACTGGGACTCGAATGGACTGGGATGGGGAGGGAGGGTGAGCCAGGTCAGAGGTCAATCCAGGCCACCCCCTTCTCCTCAGCCAGAGAACATCCTGTGCGTCAACACCACAGGCCACTTGGTGAAGATCATTGACTTCGGCCTGGCACGGAGGTACCACCTTGGGTGGGCAGGGTGGCTGGGGCCAGGGGAAGGTGGGAAGGTGTCTGGGAATGGGCTGGGAGTTGTGCTCTGAGCTCTTGGCCTGACCTCCAGGTATAACCCCAATGAGAAGCTGAAGGTGAATTTTGGGACCCCAGAGTTCCTATCCCCTGAGGTGGTGAATTACGACCAAATCTCCGATAAGACAGACATGTGGAGCCTGGGGGTCATCACCTATATGCTGTGAGTATTGATGCGGTCGGGGCACATGGGCGGGCAGCTGAGGCCAAGATCGCTTCCACCTCCCGACTCCCTCAGTCAGGGTTTGCTGGGCATTGGGGGTGCACTCATCATTCCTCTTCTTCATGGTAACCCTGGGAGGCTCGGATGATTATGGCCATTTTACAGATGAGATGAGTGAGGCTCAGAGAGGGGAAGTGACTTGCTCAAGGTCACCTAGCCAGATAAACCCAGGTCTGTCCCACTTAAGAGGCCGGGGGTCTTTTCAGCTCACGGTGCTAATTCTCAGGATCTGTCGCATTCCCGACCCGATCTTACCTCCCTGCCTCCTGCCATCGCCTCCCTCCAGGCTGAGTGGTCTCTCCCCCTTCCTGGGAGACGATGACACAGAGACCCTGAATAACGTTCTATCAAGCAACTGGTACTTTGATGAGGAAACCTTTGAGGCTGTCTCAGATGAGGCCAAAGACTTCGTCTCCAACCTCATCGTCAAGGACCAGCGGTGAGGCTCACCCCTCAGGACGTGAACCCCGTGTGTGCAAAGTCCAGTGCATGCGTGTGCCGGGTGGGAACTGGGCTGGCAGGCTGGTGGGAGCGGTGCCTCCCAGGCCTGCCGCCTCCTCTCACCGCGCCACCCCGTCTCCACAGGGCCCGGATGAGCGCTGCCCAGTGCCTCGCCCACCCCTGGCTCAACAATCTGGCAGAGAAGGCCAAGCGCTGTAACCGCCGCCTCAAGTCCCAGATCTTGCTTAAGAAATACCTCATGAAGAGGCGCTGGAAGGTACCGCTGGACTGAGGCGGGGAAGAGAGAGGGATACAGGGTGGGAAGGGCGCTGGCCCCACTAACCCCGTCTCCTCCTATTCTGTCTGGGAAACAGAATTGGCTTTTCTCTCTTTGTCCTGGGCTGGTTCCTGCCCTGGGTGGTGGCCCTCCACCCACCCCCTCCACCCTGGGGAGGGGCATTTTCATGGCTTGGGCTCAGGAAAAAGTCTCTGACCCCTCTCAGGCTTCTTCCCTTCATTTCACAAATATTTCTTGACCATCTACCACCTCTGGGCATTGGGGACACAGCAATGTGCAAAGAGAGTAGGATTTCAGTCTTCATGAACTTACTTTTGTTAGAGGGTGGGGAGTTATTAAAAGGAATTAAGGAAGGGCTCTGTTGGCTCAGGCGAAGAATCTGCCTGCAATGCAGAAGACCCAGGTTCGATCTCTGAGTTGGAAAGATCCCCTGGAGAAGGGAATGGCAACCACTCTGGTATTCTTGCCTGGAGAATTCCATGGACAGAGGAGCCGGGTGGGCTACAGTCCTTGGGGTCACAAAGAGTTGGACACGACTGAGCGACTAACACTTACACTTACTAAAAAAAAATAAGAATGGTCAGGAGTGCTGGGGAGAGGCTGTGCTTCTAAATAGGATGGCTAGGGAGAGCGCAGTGAGAAGGAGCCTGTGAACAAAAACCTGAAGGAGATGAGGGGTGAGTCAGGCTGATACGAAGGGGGGTGTGTCCCCAGGCAGTGGGAACAGCTGGTGCAAAGGTCCTGAGGCAGAAGCATGGTTGTGGAGTGTGAGGAACAGGTAGGAGGCCAGTTCTCTGAGTGGAATAAGCAAGGGGCAGGAGAGGTGTCCGAGAGGATGGGGAGGCAGGGTGTGGAGAGACTCAGCCACAGTGAGGGGCTTTTTCTTGGAATAAAATAGGAACCAGTGGACCGCTTCCCCGGTGGGTAGCGCTAGTGGGAAAGAACCTACCTGTCAACACAGGAGACATAAGAGATACGGGTTCGATCCCTGGGTTGGGAAGATCCCCTGGAGGAGGGCACAGAAACCCACTCCAGTATTCTTGCTTGGAGAATTCCATGTAGCCTGGTGGGCTACAGCCCATGGGGTCACACAAAGTCGGACACGACTGAGCGACTTAGCATGCACACGCAGACCGCCATGAGGGGAGCGGGACTCAGGTTTGTTGACCGGTCTGTGAGACAGGGCATCCTGAAGGCTGTGGTGTCAGGGCGCCTCCTGTGGCCATTTTGGGCACTGCAGCCTCCCTGACCAGAGGCCCTCCTGGGATGAGGGGGACCTCGGGAGACACACAGCCTGTCCTACAGCTTTCCCCCTGCCCCGCTGCTGACCGGGACCCCTCTCCCTCTTCCCTCAGAAAAACTTCATTGCTGTCAGCGCTGCCAACCGCTTCAAGAAGATCAGCAGCTCGGGGGCACTCATGGCTCTGGGGGTCTGAGCCCCTGGAGCAGCTGAGGCCTGGACGCAGCCGTGCAGTGGCCAGGGCTGAGGCCACACAGCCCAGAAGGCCGGAGCAGACGGGCCAGATCGCCGGGGCAGGCTGGCCAGGACGAGGCTGCGCCAGGCTGGGAGGCTCGGGGCTCCCACGCCCCCGCGCGGTGACTGCTTCCCCGACGTGAGCCGCCTCAGATGTGGCCTGACTCCATCCTGCTAGCGCCTCCCCAGACAGGGCTCTGGCCCCCAGCACAGCCCAGACACCAGGGGCCCTGTTGTTCCCGCCTGGCTCCCCTTCTTGGAACTGCTGCTCTGGTGACCCCAGCTTGGCCTCACCTGGGGCATCCCTGGCCTGGGCTTGCTCCTAGCTAGAGTGGGAGGGCTGGGGGCCCCAGCATGTGGGGCTTCTGCAGTTGTGGGTGGGAGGCCTCGGTGGGGCAGGACGGCAGACGGCCGATTTCTGAGGTGCAGCTGCCCGGGGGAGACAGAGCAGGCTTTGTGAAGGAGGGCCTCTGTGTCCCCAGCCGCCCGTCTCCCCACTCCCAACAGATAAGGCTTAGCACACACCATCTGGTGCAGGGCCCGGCCCCCGCCCACCTTCCTCGCGACCACCAACATGCAGGAACTCTGTGTGAGAGAGAAGACGCCCAGCCCGGGGCCTGGGTGGAGGGGGAGGGGAGAGGCCTGGGGGACAGGGGAGCCCGCCCCCGAGCTTGCCTGAAGGCCAAGCCAGCCTAACCCAGCCACTCCGGCCCCCATTCCAGGGGTGGGTCACCACGGCCTCAGAGGATGGTGTCGGCAGGCCCGGAGGAGTGGGAAGGCTGTCGGGCAGCCCCCACCCCGCTGTCAGCTTGTGCCATGTAAATAAATGTACAGGTTGGGAGCGGCCCCCCTTCCCTCTATGTGCGTGCACCTGGGTGAGGTCATAGCTGGCCACCGTTCACCGAGCACTGCCGTGGGCCAGTCACTTTAGCAACACTTGGAGTATGGTGTGGTGGTTACTGATGCAGCCTCAGGAGCCAGACTACCCAGTGCTTGGTCAGGGCTGCCTGCCTTGTACCTTAATGTGCTCCTCTGTGAGAGGTCACAGCACCAGCCAACATTTACGGGAGACTGCTGTGTGTCTGGGCTTCCCAGGTAGCTAAGCTGGTAAAGAATCCACCTGCAATGCAGGAGACCCTGGTTCTATCCCTGTGTCGGGAAGATCCCCTGGAGAAGGGCTAGGCTACCCACTCCAGTATTCTTGGGTTTCCTTGGTGGCTCAGACAGCAAAGAATCAGCATGTAATGCGGGAGACCTGGGTTCGATTCCTGGGTTGGGAAGATCTCCTGGAGGAGGGCATGGCAACCTACTCCAATATTCTTGCCTGGAGAATCCCCATGGACAGAGGAGCCTGGTGGGCTACAGTCCATGGGGTCACAAAGAGTCAGACGCGCCTGGACACAGCACAGCACTGTGTGTCTGGCTCTATTCAAGCGCTTGTATGTCTGTTAACTCATTTATGAGGTCACGAGGTATATATTATTCATATTATACAAAGGGGGATACTGAGGCTTAGAGAGAAGAAGGAACTTGAAGGCTTTTCAACAAGTCAGAAGCTGGGGCTTGCTTGAAATGGACTATTCCACCTCCTACAGCAAGGCTCTGCCCACAAGACCTCCCTGCTTCTCACCAGAACAAGGTGTAGGCAGATAGCAGAGTCGCCAAGTGGAGCCAGGAGCTCGGGCCAGCAGCGATGGGGGTCCCCTGGGAGGCGCAGGGAGCAAGCTGTTCTCCAGTCTCACCCACGGGCCTCAGCCCTGCCCACGCCAGGCCTCTGCTGGAGGGAGCAGCCTAGAGGGCAAGAGAGCTTAATGCTGATAGGGTACAGCCCTTCTGGCTATGAGGACAATTGAGTCAATTGAGGCCTAAGCGGGGCTTCCCCAGGAATGGCAGGAACAGCAGCTCCCATGCAGTGAGCCCCAGGGGATGGCATGGCCCAGACCCAGCTGTGTGTTCAAGTGACCCTGGTCCCAGCGACCCCACATGGTGGGCAGCTGTATTAAGTTCATTTCTCTTGACGGAGCAGCCAAGCCTCAGGGAGGCGATGCCACTTGCTCAGGGTCACATGGCTAGCCCATGGCAGAGCCAGGGTTTGTACCCAGACAGTCTGGAACCAGAGCCCCTGCTCTGAACCGCTGCACTATCTGCCTCTGCGAAATCTTGGATGGAGACCTTGACCGTTCAGTCTTTCAGCCCCTGCTTCCATGAACGCTGGCCAGGAGGGCAAGGCCAGGTCCTCACCCGACCCTGCCCTGTTCCAGCAGATGGGTGTGGAGTTCCCCTGCCGCAGGTGCCACGTGGGACAGGATTGGGGGGCTCTGGGCTCTGAGCCTGCTGGGCTTGCACTCAGGACTCGAGGGGGAGGGGGCAGTGCACCTGGGGGAGCCTGGCTGAGGCTCTTGGTGGGAGATGTGTTATGGGCAGGGACCCTAGGGCCATGGATCCCTTGCCTGCCTGTCTGCCTGCCACCTGCTAGCTGGGCCAGGCCTGTGGTTTCCTCTGCGTTCTCTCAGCCGTGCTGGCCCCCACCCAGGCTGAGCCTCGGCCACACAGCGTGATGATGAGGAATGAGTCACCGCCATAGTGGAGGGGTAAGGAAATGAGGTCCAGCCAGCACCGAGATCCAGGGCCGGGATCCAGCGGGGGAAACCAAGGCCAAAGTGGGCAGGCTGCTCAGCAGGGACAGGAGAAGCTGGGGCTAGAACGCAGGACCCCAACTCCCAGCACAGGCCTCATTTCCCCCTCTATGAAACCAAGGACAAAGGACAAAGGTTCAGAGGACAACCTTGGCACCACTGTCCTCTGCCACCCCACGGGCCATTGTGACAAGTGAGAGGTGGGGCAGGGGGCTCAGTCACCATATTTCACAGGTGAGGAAACAGGTTCAGAGAGGGAAACTGATCTGCCTGAGGCCACACAGCAAATGAACGTGTCCTGGGAAGGAAGTCCAGCCAGAGCCATGGAACAGGGCTGATCACTGCCTCTTCTGTCCCTATTCCCAGGGAGCACACCTTACAAAGCTCTTTTTGATTCATCAGGTGCCTCCTTTGGGTTTCCCCTGGTCCCTGGAGGTAAAGGATATGGACTTGACAATACGGAAACAATGAGGGTTCAGAGAGATTTTGCTCCCCCAGGGCCACAGAGCACATCCAGGAGAAGGCTAGGGTGGCAGTCCTTGGTGTGGGATTGAACCTCTGCCTGTCTGAGGCTGGGATCCATCCCCGTGACCTTCACTAGCACTCCCATCCCCAGCAGCCTCGGAGCTGTCCTGATGGAGGGAGTGGAGCCAGAGCCAGGCCCAAAGCTCTGGGCTGGGGCTGGGGTTCTGCAGACCCTGCCCCTTGCTTGGCGTGCCCTGCCCACCCCAGCGCCTGTGCTGTGGGCTCCCCCTGCACAGTGCCCATCACGATGCTGATGCTGTAACCTTCTCTGCAAGCAGCTCTGTTGCCCCATGGGGCCAGGGCCACCAGCTGCTCCTGCACACCATCGTAGGCAAACCCCTCCCCCTACCACGGGCTCTGAAGGGTTAACACCCTCAACAGGACAGCTCCTCCCGACTGGTCCCAGCTCTCTGGTCCCAGAGAGCAGAGCGGAGAACAGCATTCTCCAAGACTATTTCCTGTCTCTGGGCCTTGGCCAGGCCTACAGTGACCACCCCCATGGGTCTGAGGCCACATCTGGTTTGGATTACTCCAGGGCTAGTGACGCTGCCTTTTCCTGTCGGCATCCAGTGGCCTTGAATTCCACCAGCCACCTTGGACCCAGCAAGGCAGCTGTGGGAAAAGATTCAGCCAGTGACAGGGCCGCCCCGAGGGTGTGAAGTGGCGAGGGCTGTCCTAAGGGATGTGCCCACCTGGACCAACAATCCGTTCATGCAGCTGCCCACACACCTGTTCCTTCCTTCACTCTAATGGGTGTTATTTACTGAGCACCAGGCACCGTACCAAGCGATTCCCATGTGTGCACTCATTTCATCCCACCCTGTGAGTGTGTATTTCAGCAGTTCAGGGATGAGGAAACCGAGGCACAAGGAGCTGATGGACAAGTGCATGGGTTCCCAGCCAGTACACAGTAGGCTGAGGGTGCAAAGCAGGTGGCCTGACCTCAGACACATCCTATCACTTCACTGCTATTTCTTTTTTTTTCCCATTTATTTTTATTAGTTGGAGGCTAATTACTTTACAATATTGTAGTGGTTTTTGCCGTGCATTGACATGAATTTCACTGCTATTTCTTGAGACCCTTTTCTGGGCCTGGCCTTAAGCCAGAGCCTAGAGATGAATTAGTCATGGCCTCGGTCTTTGGGGAGTTCACAGTCTCTGCAACCCCTGGGGCAGGAGGTTGGGGATTGTAGTGAAGCTAGAAGGGCGTGGAAGAAGACACTTGCTTCTATGCTCTCCTCTCCAGTGGGAGTGACAGCCAAGCAGAGAGCAAACAAGGAGCAGACCTTTTCCAGATAGAGTGAGGCGGGTTGTTCTAGGCAGCTCCAAAGACTTGGAACTGAGAACAAGCTAGTCTTGAAATATCCCAGGGGACTTTTGCAGACAAAGAAGCAAGAAATAAGTCTGGAGAAGTTGGCAGGAGCCTCAAATGCCAGGCTGAACCCCAGCCATAGGGAGCCATGGAAGGGTTTCAAATGAAAGAGGGACATGATCAGATCTGTGATTTCGAAGGATCACTGCCGTCCGGGACATCACTGAGTGGGAGAGAGAGACCGGAGGCAGGGAGAGGCCAGAGGGAGGTTGGGGCATGACTGCTTGAGGGGCTGTAAGGACTGTGGGGATAGGAAGAGGGAGCTGCAGACCCAATACACTGTCAGGGAGACCGGCTGATGACAGAGAGACTGGGTGCAGGTCAGGCAGAATGGGGTTCACATGGACCTTGCACCCTCCCTGAGCCTCAGTTTCCTGTCTGTAAAATGGGATAATAGTACCTGCCTCCCAGGGTCAAAGCAAAAGTGAC